TTTATCGCCAGGTCCACAACTGAGCAGGTGCCCACCAGTTGCTGTAGAAGATTAGGAGGCACTGGTGTAGAGCCAAGGTCAACTCCTACTGATGTCTGGCTCAAAACAACAGAAGGTGAGAGTTTTCCGACGACTCTGAGCGAATTGATTGCACTACCGGCCTTTCCTGATGTGAATCACTTGGCAGTGGCTGTCTGCAGTAACGGGCAATGTGGCCCACTTTGTCACACCTGAGACATTTTTTAACTGTTGACCATTTTGAAGGATTCGGTTTTAAACTGGTTTGCAATGATTGAAGCTGCTCAGTTAATGTAGCGATTTGAGTCTGTTGCTGTTTTAAGAGCTCAGCAATAGTCTGGAGCTCTGTGGATGGTTTTTGCGCTATAGGGGCAGCAGGTCTCACATAACTACTAGCCTCATTACAGTCATAGGATAACTGTGTGTGAGCATCTCCATCAATATTTTCCGACCATCTAATGGCTTCTTCACGAACCTCTATCAATGACATTCTTGGGTCCTGTTTTACCACATCCTTCAGATGGCGTCGTAGAATTCCATCCCTCACATGCTCCACAAACTGGTCCCTAAGCATTGTTTGTTGATTAGGAACGGCGTCAGGATTGCTGTCGAGGACACAGTCCATCAAAGTCATTAAAACATGTGAGAATTGCCTGAGTGACTCTCCGTGCTGTTGTTTACGATCGTAAAACTGTTTTAAAAGCACTACCAAAGGTTTTTGACCACTATATAATTCTTTAAGAATGGCCACAATTCTAATGAGATTCTCTCTCTCACAAAGTGGACGGTGCCTAATCTCATTACGTGGCTCCCCACCCAGGTGGTCCAACATAAATACAGATTTCTCCTTGTCTGAGAGGTGTCTGCCTTCAAGACAAGCATCCACTTCCTCAATCCAGTCTTCCAAACGGATACTATCTGGAGAGTCTTTAAAACCATAGAATTTAGGGCACCTTCTTTCACGAGGTATATACACCGTTCTGTCCACTCTGGGGCTGGCAGTGTCCATAGACCTCTTAAACTGGTCATTCTCAGCTTGCAAAGTTTTTAGTTGGTGGTGTATGGCTTGTAACTCGTCGTCAAAGCCAGGCATCCTTTTTGTTTTATAGGCCAAGCTGTGTTTAAATAATAATCCTTTTAGATTGTAGCTTCTTCTGGAGCTCGTCTGTAGGTTGGGAGGAGTAGGTCTCTCCAAACTTCTGTGCTGATTGCCGTTTACATGAAACTAAACTACTCTGGGAAAAACAAGTAAAAAAAGAATATAATGACCACACTCTGACTGCTCAATCCTGCCAGCAACGCCAAATGTAACACTGTAGTGTTGTAGAATGCAGGTGAGCTTCAATAACAAAGCCAGACAGTCAGAGTGGGTCCAACAGCCCTATGGCAGCTTTTATTTACATTACATAAGTATTAAAAACAGAAAATGGGACTATTGAACTACAACAGTGAAACTTGAAGCTGGGGTGAGGGGCAGTCTATATGAAAAGCAAACACAAAAGTAAACAGAAATCCATCCCCACAACAGAAATCACCATAAACATACATGTGCCACCTACACCAAAACTACAAACAAAGCCACCACTTAAAGTGAGCCTCGTCACCCCAGCTATCAACAAAGTAACTCTACACAAACTAAAATAAGCAAAATCTAAATATAAAGTAAACGGCAACCAGCACTGGGCCTATGAATAAAACCCAGTGCAATTAATAAAATGAATTATAAAATACAAACAAGATTTATAAAAGCATACCTCAACAAGACAGGACTGTTGTAACCCTTAAAAGACATTAACAAAGTATTTTTAAAATATACAATCAATACAAATATAAAATCACTCTAAACACTTTCAGCTCACCAGAGTCTGATTGTGAACAGGCTGGCTCAGGAAGAGGAAGTGAGCCCTGGTTGCCTGTCTTTTAAAGCCTTGGTCATGTGACCAGGCCACACCCATGACCACACCTACACCTGCCACAATACCATTGATCATCAGATTCTAATAAAGAAGATGGAGGACTATGGCATAAGGGGAATAGCAAATAAATGGTTGGAGAGCTATCAATGCGAGAGGACTCAGAATGTTGAGATTGCGGAGTACCGCAAGGGTCCATACTGGGACCTACACTATTCCTAATGTATTTTAATGAAATATGTAAAGTGTCTACCAAAATTAAATTCATCCTCTATGCCGATGAAAACCTTAAGCAAATTTTGACCTCGGTAACAGTGCAAATGAATAAGTTAAAAACCTGGTTTAATATTTACAAACTGTCACTGAATCTGAAAAAGACAAAAATCATGCTCTTTAGTAATCGTAAAGGCAAGGCAAGGCAAGTTTATTTATATAGCACAATTCATACACAAGGCAATTCAAAGTGCTGAACAAAATAAGAAAGCATTAAAATCATAAATAATCACAGAACATTAAAAAGAAAGCTAAAAGTATAAAATCCCTCAGTTGTATGCACAGCTAAACAGAACTGTCTTTAACCTGGTTTTAAACATTGTCAGAGAGGAGGCCTGTCTCACATCTTCAGGAAGATTGTTCCAGATTTTAGCAGCATGAATCTGAAAAGCAGCCTCCCCATGTTTAGTTCTGACTCTGGGCACTAACAGGAGTCCAGTCCCTGTGCTCCTCAGAGTCCGGGCTGGTTCATATGGGACTAACATGTCACTAATATATTTTGGTGCGAGGCCATAGAGAGATTTGTACACAAGCAGAGCTGTTTTAAAGTCTATTCTCTGAGCCACAGGAAGCCAGTGCAGAGATCTGAGAACTGGACTAATGTGGTCGTACTTCCTGGTTCTTGTCAGGACTCACGCTGCTGCATTTTGAATGTACTGCAGCTGTTTTACAGCCTGTTTGGAGAGTAAAAATAATATACCTATTAGAATTGTTATTGATGACACACCAACAGAGCAAGTCCAACAAAACACAATTCTGGGTGTTATCATTGATGAAAAAATTTACTGTACACCAAAGCTCGACTCCTTTTGCATCATTCACTCATAATGTCATATCTATTTTATTGTGTTGAAGTTTGGGGAAACTGCTATGCATCCCATCTAAAGCCTTTGATCACCCTGCAGAAAAAGGCCATTAGGATTGTCTCTGGTGTGCACTACAGACATCATTCTAATCCACTGTTTGTAGAGTTGGAAGAACTCAAACTGCAGGACGTGATCAACTTTAAAACTGCTCAAACTATGTTCAGGGCATCTCAAAACTCTCTGCCTCCTAAAGTTCAAAACTTATTCCACGATAGACACGATCATCATAGTTACAAATTTAGAGGAAACCAAATTAAATATCTACCTAAATTTAGAACCACTCTAAAGTCAATGTGTATCTCAGTGCGGGGAGTGAAACTTTGGAATAACTTGCTGGATGAATTAAAAAACTGCCCAAGCATAATTCATTTCAAACAGTTGTTTAAAAAAAATGTATTAAAGAAATATATGGAGGAAGGAGAGTGATGCCCTCAGCATGAAGCAAAGGGGAGAGGGTGTAGGGTCAGAGAGTGTTTGGGCCTGTGTCTGTGGTGTGTTGTGTGTGCGTTGTTAGTCCACTCTATGTACTGTACAAGTTTACAGCTGTTTATGAATGATCCTGAATGTATACGGTTCTTGTACTGTACTTTGTGTTGAATGTGTGAGGGGGTTGGAATTCTATAAGCGTTTGCTTCCTCCACCTCCTTTGTTTGTGCAGATTTTTGAAATAAATATTTTCTATCTATCTAAGTGTAAAAGGAAAATGATACACACTCCTCAACTAAAATGTGAACTGGCGGTGCCCTGAGAGATTTTTCAATCACAGTGCTGCAGATGAAGATGTATTGCTTGCCTCACACATGAACCCCTGATGGAATCAAATGCTGAGTCCAGAGAAGGTGCTTTTGAGTTTTTGATTGTTGTTGGTGCTTGTTTTTCCTAAAATGAGTAGCAGCAGGAAGTCTTTCCTGTTTTGTCCCCTATGAATAGATGATTGTGCAGCAGGTTGTGTGAGGGGGAGGCAACAGAGTGAATGAACTGACTTTATTTATACTTTGTTGATAAGCCTTTGATTAAACGTACAGTATTCTGTGATGTAGATGTATTCACTATTATCACTGATCCAAACCCTCATTGTGCGGCTGAATCACAGTCCTTTTTCTCACCCTCTCATCGTCATCCTCTTTCCTCTAGGATACAGGACACAGTAAACTTCCACCTTCTGTTTGTCTATTTCCACTGGAAGTCATCTATATGGGAAGCACTAGGAGGCCAAGTGTGTTTGGAATAATGGACCTCCTGACCCCCATCGCTCTCACGTATGGAGTCGACAACAGTTTAAATTATTGGCACAGTACAGTAAATGTACACAGACAGTTGGCTCTGACATCACAGATACAATTGAAGTATTGTTGTCCCAAGAAATGACATACCATATGTTATAGGTGATGTTATTATGAAGGTATTATCTTTGTTAGAGGGTTTCTGTTTGAAAATCCATAATGTATGCACATTACTTCTATCTGCAGTAGACTAAAACAGCTATTCAGTATTGATCAAATAGAATAATATTAATTTGTCATTCAGTCATGGGACCTTAACAAGAATTAATAAGGGCAAGTTGCATTGCCAGATATTACTATAAAATAATTTGTCCAAAGGTGTGACATGTATATACCTACACTTTTTAGGGTAGGTTTATAGTAAGTAATTTCCCCTGTAGATCAATATTTCATGTGTTTATTTTTTTATTAATTCTCTAACACAGAAACAGAAAAAACCCAAACACAGAAATTACATTTACATTTTTTATTAAAAAACGTTCACACTCATTAACACAAATGTGAAAATACTATGTAAATCAGAAGCTAAAGTTCAGTCATGATCCAGCAGACCGCTTCTCCAGTTTCTATGTGTAAACTTAAACAGAGCAATTTTCTAATACATTATTTACAGTTTATTTAGTTTACCGTGCAAGCATTTATTTAAACTAACTTGAATGCAAACTGGATGATTCGGACTCTGTGGTGGTGGACTGTCCCGTGCGCCTTCTGGGTAAAATCTTTAAACTTGAGGCCCTGCTTAGTGTCAGGGCTCTGCGGGCCGAACTTTTGAATCCTGCCCCAAGGAAGGCGTACAAAATTGGGTTTAGACAGCAGTGAGCGAAAGCCATCGGTTCGGCCACCGCTAACCAAACCCCCAAGACAGCTTCAAGGTTGCAGCTGCGAGGCAAGATCTCCAACCTTAACATTGTATCCACAGAGATACCAGCTCCATAGGGCAGCCAGCACAAGAAAAAGCAGAGCACGAGAGCGATGGTGGTCCGTACAGCCCTCCTCTTCTGCCTCTGGCCTCCGAGCGGGCCACGAGTCAGTCTGGTCACAATTACGCAGTAGCAGATCAGCAGAACCAGACCAGGCACCACGAGACCCACCAGGACCAGCTGCAAGTTGAACACTGCCACCCACAGAGGAGCATTCTTTTCTGGGTAGAAACGTTGGCAAAGGGTGGCTCCCTCACCACCCTCCTGAGTCCTGGCAAAAATCAGGTCCGGAATGGCCAACAGAGCAGCGGGCAACCAAGCACCTGGAAGAAATAGGTTTAATTAGGGAAGGTTCAGGTTTGCTATAGTATTTTTTACATGGCTTTTTTGCAGTTTTCTATTTTTTTTTCTCCCTCAATATAGTTTTTTCCATCTCCTTCTGTGATTGAGAAGTTCATTGCAATACTATGGGGTGTGTTGGTCAAATAAAAGTTTAATTATTTCCTCAATGTTGTATTGCTTATTTGAATTGAACACAGATACAGGGAGAAAGTGCAAACTCCACTCAGAAAGACCCTGGTTCCAACTGGGATTCTTGCTGCTTGCTACTATGCCACTGTACCACTCAATTTACCATTTGAAGAATAAATGGAGAATAAATATATTATTAGAACTAATAACAAGCGTAATCAGTATCAAAAGTATGACAGTACGCTTGAGCATTTTGAATGAATGAATGTTAAAAAAGGAAATATTATAATTTAATAATTTAATAAGACTTAAATAAGGACTGACCTGCATAAACCAGCTTGTGTGCCAGCAGCTGCCTCAGAGCTCCTGTGTTGGTGTCAGTGGCGCGGACCACAGCTAAGTAGCGGTCCAGGCTGATGAAGGCGAGGATGAGGACGCTGCCGTACAGGTTCACGGTGTAAATGACGTGAACTCCTACACACGAGACCGCTCCGAAGCGCCAGTCGGCCAGAGCAGCGTCCACCGCCCAGAACGGAAGAGCCAGAACGAACAGGAGGTCAGCAGCTGAGAGGTGCAGGCGGTATCGGTCGGTCAGGCTACATTTGGACCTTTACAACAACACAAGAATATGTCAGTCTCAAATGAATGGCATCTCCAAATCTAGGCAGAATTTGATGTGTTTTCCTCAAATGCCCTTGTGGTGACCCAGATTTAGTGAAGTGGCTTGATACTGAGATGAGATATAACTTGTAACGTAGTCGATTGAAGTCACATGGTTGTTTCTAATGTGACAGGAAAGCTTAATGACAAACTAAAACATCCAGGAAAAGTCAAAACAGAAACATTTAAATGAGCCCACCCAAAAAGCAGGTCCCCACAAGAACAGAGGAGGAATTCTGCTTTAAAGGAGACCCCTCATTTGTACAGGGAAAATGAAATAACATCAATATATGTACATTTTATGACATCCCATTTTACCCCCACCCTTGATATTGTAGTGGTTGTCAAACTGGAGGCAACTTTTTAAGCACTGTCTTTCAAGATGTTTTTGAGGCAGGAGGACTGTTTGAGCTCCCCTGGTGCTTTAATTTTTGTTGTAAAAATGGGCTTTAACAATAATGTATTGAAGTGTGGATTTTAAACAGTATAGCTCTACATTCAGTTCTATTTCACATTTTGATTTGGTTTAATTACAAAAAAAAATGTTGAATGTCAGAACATACACATTTAATTTTACCATAGTGGAATAAGTAACATCCAACATCATCCATTAATTTACATAGTTACAGATTACAGTGTGTTTGAAATATTGTCCTACCTGCGCTGGCATCCCAACACTATGACCACAAGCCCGTTACCAGTGATGCCGAGTGTGAAGATGAGAGCGTAGACCACAGGTAAAAACACCTGCTGTAACTCTGCCGTCATCAAGTGCTCCACATCACAGGGCTCGTCCAAATCCACCCCCAGCTCTCCCGACCCAGAGCCCGACCCAGTGTCATTGAAGTCGTAATCCAAAACAATGTGCTGGAAATAAAAAGAGAAAATGAAGACAAAGACAACAAACATGAAAATATACAATCGTCATGATCTTACCTCGTAGTAAGACATGATTGGTCTGGAGTTTTTCTGAATGAAAGTAGTGGTCCTCTCTCTAAACTTGGTTAAATAGTAGTCTTAGGCTCCTCCTTCTAAAACATCTGTCCCTACTGAATGTTTTTCCTGTTTTTGAGGTGTCAGGTGGAGATCCTATCACAGGATGCAGTGTTGAGTGTGTGCGTACATGAATTGTTTTGGCCCTGGGACCTTTAGGTCGATGATAATCGGCATGGGACAGTGGTGAGGAATGAGGGCATGAAGAGTGGGCATCAGTATCCCGCCCTAAAGACACATGCACTCCTGAATCAGGACATGTACAAGCAGTTTCTAAAGTCACTTGAGCAAACAACTTCTATGACCTGCTGCAACAGATTTCAAAAGAGACTTGTGCATGATGTGGAAATATGATAAAGAATGTGTCAACCAGTATTCAACGTGCCACATGAGAAAAACATTGGTAAAAGTTTGCTTGTGGTAAAGAATGATAAACGTCATGGTGTCCTGCTTAAAATACCCTTTGTTATTTGAAACTACTTAAAATCTATAAAATTATGGCCTTAAAGCAGCTTATACCCAAAACAATTTGAAACATAAGGAAAAAAGCCTAGCACAGTAACATTCATCAGTGGGAGATGTATGCAGCTCAAACAGGCTTCTTCTTTGATCAAATCCAGCCTAAAAGTTTTGTTTAGTTGCATGTACAACTGAAAGCCTTTGTGCTCACTCTTTAAAAAAAGAGTATTGTCTTTATGTTTGTAGGATTGCACTATTTGAATACTTCATTTGTTTTATTTACTGATTGCCTTAGCACTGTAACTGACTATTTAAAATACGTATGTGTTGGTCTGATGCACGACAGTCTCTGTCCAGCACAAAGGCAGCAGACACACTTCCTGCCATTGGTGCTTTGGAGATTTTGTGTCAGTAAATCTCCATTCTCTTTAGTTTTTCTAATCCCAAAAATAAACAGTCAAAAAGTGTCAGATTCTGAATGTGATTCTGGCACCCCAACTGTTATCTGCAAACCCTTAACCCCACCCTTTCCTGCAAACCACTGCACTATCAAGGCAACAATCAAAAGACAAACAGAACAAACCCAAAAACCACGGCATCTCCAGACAAGCCATTTTTAGTAAACAAGAATGGGGGCGACAGTAGCATTGGTCTTTGGACCTAAGGGTCATGGGTTTGATCCCACCACGACCCATGTCATCTGCTCCCACTGATGTCAGCGGTCGTTGTGTCCCTGGGCGAGGCACCCCAAGTCCCCGCTGAAACACCAAGGCCAGATCTTTGTTGACGGGGCAGCCATCTTCCTGTGGACCAACCACCTGCAGGAGGATCAGCGAGGGACTGGTGCATTGTGAATTGGGTGGCAGCTCTGATTGCCACCCCCTGACCCAAAAATGAATAATAAAGGGAAGTAAATGAAATCAAAGAATTTATACATTTAACAACTCATTTACTGATATTTTGGCCAATTTAATGCTACAAGTCATATTCTCTGTGACAGAACAGGCTGAATAACAAAGTGGGCAATTAAACTATTGTTACAAGGACTTAAAAATGTGTATTAAACTGAAAAAGTTAACAGAGAAAGATGAGATTTGATAATCCCGTTTATTGGCTGCAACTGGAAAACTGGGAAAAGATGAACCCTTTCTATCTTTAAAAAAAAAATAAAAAAATTACTACAGTAACAGAATGGATAGTTTTGCAGCAATAGACAAAAATTAAGTAACAGCAATAGCAATACTTCAATAAACTAAAGGCCTGGACCGCCTCCATATCTGTGATAAGGGCGCTCAGTCCCGGGTCTCTCTGATGATCATGCTGTTGTTGCCTCGCAGCTGGGCCAGTAAGTCTTTAAATCCGCCGTCTCTTTTAGGCACAGTTTGTTTTGGCATTTCCTTAAAGCTCCGCGATGCAACCGAGAGTGCAGGGGTCAGATCAGAATCTTGCAACCCACTTTCTAAAGAGACAGGGCTGCAGCAGCTGCTCAGCGAATCATTTATCATCGATCGGTTGTGAGTGACGTCATTTGTCATTGGATCAGTGTTAGCATCGCCGCATCCCACAGGCCTGCGGTTTGTGTGGGTTCTCTTCTGCTTAGCAACACGAGGGACCAGAGAGTCTTCTCTAGCCCTCTTCCTCCGGTTCTTTTCTCCATTCTTTATTATTGGATTTTTTATGCAATGGCGAAGATTTCTAATTTGGAAAAAAACAAAACATTTAAATCCTATTTGGAAGTCTCCGTTGCTCCCATCTCTGTGTGGAGTGAGAGAACAAATGTTCACAATTGTAAAGCGTTTTTTTTTCTCTGGTCTGTGAAAGGCGATACATATATAAATAAACTCACCTTTGTAAAAAAGGATGTGGTCTCATGCATACAACTTCAACCATGAGTTCATTTTGTCCTTTTTTTTGTTTGTTTTTTATCAATCGTAGTCTGTGGATTAACTGTGTGAGATCTAACAGGCTCCTGCAAACAAAAGCATTGCACATGTCCAACAGCAGTAAAAGACACTGATCAAATGTAATCAAATGCATATTACTAACGTCTGCTTCTGCTTCCTTCTCCATGGTTTAAGAAGAATCCATTGGTCACATGAAAAAGATTTGGGGTCTAAATACAATTCGGAACATTAGAAGACCAGATTTGAATCTTACATGAGTGACCATGCACTTACCGGTGCATAAAAGCTTGTTCTTGAGAGGAGCCTTCATCCGCTTTGCCTTCTGCTGAAGTTTACGACACACGGAACATAGGGTCAGTAACTTGTTGAGTGTGGAGTCATAATCGCCGGACGGCCCAGACATGATGCTGCTGACTGACACCTGGTCATCATCAGAGCAGTCAACTCCTTCATCTGCCACCTCCACCGACAGGTCATCCTGACGTCTGTCAATTAGGTCCAAGAGGTCATCAATGCTCCGCTTGTTCACCTCATGCGTGTTGCAACATTGAACAGTCTTGCTCCTTTTTTGCTGCCTCTTGCCCCTTTCTCTGCCTTTGATGAAGTCTTCACTGGAACTTGGGTTATTTGGAGATTTTGAGGTCTTACGCTTTTTAGAGTTGAGTTTTGAATTCATTAGGTTCTTCCACTTCATAGAGTATTTAAATGATCTACACAAGAAAACGTGAACATATTATTCAAAAGCCAGGTCACAGTGCAAAGTTGTCAGTGTTTTATTAATGTAGGTTACTTATCAAGCATAACCCGACTCACCGGTAATATTCTATCTTTATGGAAACCATAGATTTCCAAGCTACCATCCTTCCATTGTCTGAAAAATGCAATACAAAAAATATGAAACACATAATAGACCATTAATAAACTTAAAACCGTGATTCGGGTGCAATGTGACCGCCATTCTCGATCCAAAGAGAAGTATTGAATTTGTTTGGTAAACAAACTCACTCAGAGGGCGTAACAGGACGGGGTCTCTGCTCCCGGGTCCGTGAAGCTCCAGCTGCACAACCCCAGACAACACCAGAGACTCCCGCGCTCAGCTGAAGCCTCTTCTGCTTAATTTCAGAAACAACTGTGGAGTGAGGCCCCCTGCAGGATTGGGGCTGTAACTGCAACTGAAACAGAAAATAATAATATAACAAACATATAATGTGACCAATCAATCAACTTTTATTTATATAGCACAGTTCATTCAGAATGAAACCCGAAGTGCTTCACATTGGCAACATTTAAAACCAATTTTAAAAACACACTGTAAAAAACACATACAAAAGACAATTTAAAAAGAAATAAATATGTGTATGTATGTATATAACAATAATAAAATAATGATCCGTTGCCTGAACTGTTTTCAGTCTGGACTTGATTATAGCTAGGGTAGCAGCTTGTCTCACACCTTTTGCGAAGACTGTTCCAGATTCTAGGTGTATAGGTCTGGAGCGCTGCTACCACACGTCTAGTTCCGACTCTGGGCACCAGCAGCAGGCCAGTCCCGGTGCTCCTCAGAATTCGAGCCGTCAGACAGGCTGCAAAAGTGTGTTCACAAAGTACAATTTCCCATCAAAAGTGAGAAAATCATTGTGGGCCCCAAGTATTTAATTTATTGAACATTTAATCGATTTCCAATGTAACTGTCGTCCATCCATCCATCCATTTTCTACCCCTTAATCCATTTCTGAGTTGGGGGGGAGGCCAGAGATGCCACCCAGTACACAGAGCACCAGCCCCTCACTGATCCTCCTGCAGGTGGTGAGTCCACAGGAGGATGGCTGCTCTATGACGTAGCCTTGATCTTTCAGCGGGGGCTTCAGGCAAAGTGGGTGTCTTGCCCAAGGCCACAACGACAGCAGACATCAGTGTGAGTCGGAGGAGAAGGTCTCATGGTGGGCTTGAAACCCACGACTTTCAGGCTCAAAGGCCAATGCTTTACCGACTGAGCCACTGTCGCTCCCTGTAACTGTCGTATCCATAAAAAAAAAAAACTATAAATGATTCAATAACACATGGGCCCCGTCTCGATCTGTCCATTGGTTCCAAGTCCTATGGGATGGCCCTTGCAGACTTTCAGTAGGGACTGAATGGATTATGTGTATGTGTGTATGTGTACCATCTGGGACAGACCATAGCATGATACTCTGTCACCGTTGATTAGACCACATGAATTCTACTTCTCTGTTTTGAACAGATCCAGTGACATATTGACTTATGGTTTTTAATTTGTGGTTGCCACTCTACTCACATTGTTGTCCATGTGTTGCTTTAAGTGCATACATTTGTAAACGTCCACATCTATTGGTTTGAAGCCAAAGTCTTGGCCTGTTTGGAAGTCAGTGATTGACTTTAAATGCAACTCCTGAAAGGACTTTGGACACACACCTAAGCATGGAGTATTGACTTTTTTCTTGCACTTCCCCTGAAGCTGATTCTAAACCTGATCTTATTGTCTGGCCATTCAATTCAATTCAATGAATCTTTAATTGAGTCATAAAAGGTCCATATAAAACATTTCATTAAAACAGACACCAAAGAACATATATTTTCGTTTGCCCATTTGTGTTAATCAATGTGTTATTGATCTATAAATGTATGTCAATATGGCAACCACATTCTTGTACTAACTCAGGTCCCATGATGTGAGCGTGTAAAGATTTCAGTTCTCTCACACACACACACACACGCACACGCACGCACACGCACACGCACACACACACACACACACACACACACAACAGCTAAGCCAAAGAGGAATTTTAACAACTGAAAGGGCAGTGATTATTGGCCCTGTCAAGGTGATGTATCCCTTGTGTTTTGTATCCCCCTGTCCTTTCTGCAGAAATTGTTGGGACAAGCTGAGATCTGCCCTGATGAAAAGGAACAATGTGCACCGTGGTGAAGTTGGTATAGATCCATAGTACGAGACATATGGATTTTCGATATTTAGGGACCGTCAACAAGTTACCAGAAAAGAGGCGTAACTATTAGTAATAAGGGTTTGTTTGAGTGCTGATTACAATGATGAAATATTGACATAATTAACTTACAGGCATTATTGAAGCAACATTATAAATATTCTTCAATATAGCGTCAGAGCATTTGACCCAGACACCCCAAACTACCTTAGAATAGTGAAACTACTCCAGATCTTTGGGGCTCATGCCTTTATTTTAATTTGAAATGCTTTCTAAATATTTTAAACATTATATTTAATCAAACCAGATCACCGGGTACACGTGGATTGATCTTGACCTGCTTGTTGTATTAGTGCTCGCACTGCAGTTGCTGTTCCTTGCGGTGTACAGTTTGTACTCATATTGTAAATGTCACTTCTGTCAAAAACACCTCTTTTACGTTTGCGAACGTGATTTGACCGGCTTCACTCTTGACGTGCGCCAGTCTCGGCTGTGTGGGCGCTGTTGCCTGTGTGTGTGTGTGTGTGTGTGTGTATGTGTCCATTGTCCAATCCAATCCAATTCTCTCCACTTTATTTATACAGTACATTTAATAAACACAGTTTCCAAAGTGCGGTACAATGAGAAAAAAAAAGAATCTTGTCTTCAGACTTTTCATGTTGTCGCAATGCGCACAGGTGATGCTGTGCGCCATGTGAAAGTAAATCTTGGTTAACTTTTCACAGCTGATTGTAGATAGTGAAGAAGATGCCAAAGTCTGGGATCGCGTCTTAAATTCAGACAGAAGACATGTTTTATTGTCGATGGTAGAGACAGCACGATCAAAGCACACGATCACAGATACAAGAGAATGCAAGTGTATTATACAGAGCGGAGGCATGGAGTCCTCCAATCAGCAGCTGCCACGGTGTGCTTGTAGCTTGGCCTTCAGATAGACAAAACAAGGGAAAAGTACAGGCTTCTGCACATTGATAGAATGATGAGTTTAACTTTAACAAAAGTTGCTTCAAAGTGTTATGAAATCTCACATTCCCCCCTCTGGTCATACATTCACGTGTGACCATCAGGATTGATAAACAGCAACATAACATCATAACTCAATACTTCAAAAACTCATAAACTCGGTACCTCAAAAAACTCAGAACTCGGAATACTTCAAAAACTCATAAAACATGTTCAGATCTTTCATAAAACTTGTCAACAATCTTCAGTAAAATACCAAACTTCATCAGTCGATGGTTCTCAGATATTGCTTTGAAAACAGTCTCTCCCACTTCTCCGTGTTGGTTTCTTCAGGCTGCATTTGTGTCGAGCCATGAATTCTTCTGTGACGTGTCTTTCAATCACACGTTTCAGCTTCAGTGTCCAGATTCAGCAATCCAATTCAGTCCAAATTATGTCCAAATTCAGAAATCCAGATTGTTCCAAATCATGTCCAAATTGTGTAACCCAATTTTTCCAAATGATGATGCAAAAGAGGACCATGGTATTGTCCATGTCTCAGCAGCTCACAGCCTGACTGGAATCAGCAGGGGCTGTGCAGATTGTCCATGTTGCTGGTCCAGATGCATTCTCTTGAGGTTTTTCAGTTTTGGCTTAAAAAAAAAACACTTTTTGTGTAAAAAAAAAAGTAGTCTTCTGTTCACTAGATGTTACAGACAAGGCCCGCATCCTTCCACCACCTGAAGAAGATGCCAAAGTCTGGGATCGCGTCTTAAATTCAGACAGAAGACATGTTTTATTGTCGATGGTAGAGACAGCACGATCAAAGCACACGATCACAGATACAATAGAATGCAAGTGTATTATACCGAGCGGAGGCATGGAGTCCTCCAATCAGCAGCTGCCACGGTGTGCTTGTAGCTTGGCCTTCAGATAGACAAAACAAGGGAAAAGTACAGGCTTCTGCACATTGATAGAATGATGAGTTTAACTTTAACAAAAGTTGCTTCAAAGTGTTATGAAATCTCACAATAGTTTGTCAACATAGTTAATTATCTATTATGATTATATGATTAGCCTAAGAAGCTCCAAGCTTTTCCCTTTAACCTGAGTAATGTTGTGCAAGTACAATATCATAGCAATACCGGTATGAACTTGTACAATACCTGTCCACAAAACACACTTAAGATGGTTGATTAGTCTCAATAGTAACTCTGCACTTAGTATGTCTGCAATTGGAGTGTGGAGGTCAGAACTCACCTTTTAACTTGTGTTACAGATGACTTCCATGACATTGCATTGGAATTTGTGTGATAATGGTAAAATTAAGTATCTGACATACCACACAAAAGCATAAAGCTCTTAGTTGTAGATGAATCATTTTCTCGCAGTCTTTGAAAGTACCTTACTCGGATGAGCCACAGCATACAGGACAGTATTAAGAGCAGACAAGGAGCCCACAACATATACAGAGATATGACTAGTTGTAAAAGTGTCATAAGAGCAGCAATTAAATATCAATGTACAGAATAAACATTTGGTAGTTGTAAATTATGCAACTACCAAATTATTTTAATCACACAGTTGAATGGGAAAGGGAAGAAAGAATGAAAGAAAAAAAAACACATTTCTCATTTCTTTCTTCTTCGTTTCTTTGCTTTCCGGTAACTTGTTGACGGTCTCTAAATATTGAATATCTGAATACTTGAATGAGTGTCGAATGTCCAACGTCCAAACTAACTTCACTACGGAACGATGTGGAAGGCAGCTCTGTTTGTGTTTGTGCTGCTGAACCTAGCTGAGGACGAGGTTTTTTCAAGAAATGTCTCCACCAGCTCTGCTCCTTTCTTGGGAAAACTTTTGGTGGTTCCGATGGATGGCAGTCACTGGGTGGGCATGAAGGCAATCGCTCAAGAAATGGGACGTCGCGGGCACCAGGTGACAGTGGTGATGCCAGAAGTCACGGTACGCATGGGACCAGGGGCGCACTACCAGACTGTCACTTTCCCCGTGCCATATGACAAGTCCTTCATTGACTCAGTGATGGCCTTCAACAAAGCTGTGATGAGTAAAGACACCCTGCCCTTTATGGAGAAGATGAGGAGAAGGATAGCACAAGTTAAGAGAATAACAGATCTGCTTCACACAACAGCAGAGAGCCTTCTGTTCAACGAGACTGTCATTTCACATCTGCAGCAACAGGTGAGACAAAAACACCTGGATTGATTTCGAACGAGTTGACCAATAAAGATCCAACTGTATGCAAGTGGAAATTGTGCATTGTGAAATTGTTAATTTACATATGGATGTTATGTTTTAGCATAATTAATAATTGAACTAACATAAAGCAATTAAATAATTTTCATACTGAATATATAGATTCTATTCTATTATTAATATTCACTTCACAGTCCAAATTGTGTGTCTGTGTGCTCCTCATTACTAACATTCTGTAACCTGTGATGCAATATCCCCCACTGTGGGACAATAGACCCCAGTTCACTTCAGGCAACCTCAAATAAACTATTATGATGAAAGTATTCACCATAGGGTTAGGATAACAACAATGTTTATTTTTGTATGATTAAATATAAAACATGACATCATGAGTAAAAAGATATTCAGATAAACTGTTTGCCAAATTCATGCTTGAGGTCAATCCGGTTTGAAAGCAAAGCTGCCAAAGCAGTCTGTAGTGAGCTAAAGGAAAATATCTGAATGACACATTGATGAAGTATGTACATGGGTGTTTTCTCATAACATCTCATTATATTCTTTTCTCAGGGGTTTGACGCTATGCTGACAGATCCTATGGTTCCAACTGGTTCAATAATGGCTCGTAAATTTGGCAAGTATAATTTTGTATTTAAAATGCTTTACAATGGAGTGTGGATTTCTGAGTATTCACATTTCTCATTCAGGTCTTCCCACTATAAACGTACTTAGAGGGATTCCATGTATGTTGGATATGAAGTCAGCAGGATGCCCGTCTCCACCGTCATTTGTGCCTCGCTTTTTTACTGGGTTCACCGACAAAATGAGCTTCACACAAAGAGTTTTCAACACTATGGTGGGTAAAGGTTTGGAAAGGATCTCAATGATTATTATGATAGTACAAGGTTTCTTGAGTCACAGTTGGTTAATGTGTTTTATGGTTATAATATACCTGTTGCTCTGACCCACAGCTGGCATTGTTTGAACCGCTGATGTGCTCTTTGCTCTACTGGCGTTTTGATGGAATAACCTCTGAGTTTCTTGGACAGGATGTAACTGTGGCTGAAATTCTGTCTGATTCCAATATCTGGCTGCTAAGGCATAGTGCAAAATATATTGACCCATATTATAGGGTTGGCAAAGAAAGAATATGCAATAATCCATTTTGTATTCTAATTACAGGTTGGATTTCACAGTAGAGTATCCTCGTCCTCTTATGCCAAATATGGTTCTTGTTGGCGGCATCAACTGTAATGTAAGAAATCCTCTGCCAAATGTAAGTGTTTTCTACATTTCGTGTGATAACACAGAATATTGCAACCCACAATAATTCATCAAATACATCTATATAATATCTACAGGACCTCCAGCCATGGATTTCAGGAGACCATGGTTTTGTGGTGATGACCTTCGGTACCATGGTGACTGAAATGCCGAAGGAAATGAGAAAACATTTTTTTGATGCATTTAAACAAATTCCTCAAAAGGTCTATAAAAGAATAATACAATCATGCTCGTCACATTGGTTAATGTGCTTGGACTACCAGATGCAGTGGACTTATTTTATTGTTTATAAATATAGGTCATTTGGAGATACAATGGGTCAGTTCCTGAACAGATCCCTGAAAATGTGAAGTTGATGAATTGGGTTCCTCAGAACGACTTATTAGGTTTGATTAATGTATTCATGTTTATAAATAATGTTTTGTGAATGTGACAATAATTATGTATGTTATATTGCTATAGCACATCCTCAGGCCAAAGCTTTCATAACTCACGTTGGGTCACACAGTGTCTTTGAGGCACTGTGCCATGCTGTTCCTATGATCATGCTGCCTTTAAATGCAGAACAGCCTGACAACGCACAGAGGATGGCAAACAGGGGTGCAGGAGTCGTTTTGGATATTCGTACAATCACCACCGAGACCCTTTTAGATGCACTGAAGGAAGTCATCAATAATCCAAAGTAAGAAAGGTTAGAGAAATGACTTATTACAATGATCAAGATTAATAAACATTGACTTAACATTTTAGGTACAAGGAGAAAATACAGACGCTGTCAACAATCCACAAAGACCGTCCTGTTGACCCGCTTGAGTTGTCCGTGTACTGGACAGAGTATGTGATGAAACATAAAGGAGCAAAACACCTCAAATCTGCTGTTCATGACCTCAACTGGATTCAATACTACACCCTAGACGTGATAGCCGTGCTTTTGGCAGTTACACTGATCTTTGTGATAATTGTAATTAAAACTTTAAAACTATGCATTAGAAAAATAAGACGAAAAAGAAAGCAAGAATAAGTGCCACTTATCAAAATATGAAAAAAGTGCTCAATGGTCCTCAAAAACATTTAATAAACAGAAATGTACAGAACATGTTTTTTTTATTATAATTTTATCTGGGTTTGAAGGACAAGCATGATCTTTAGTGACCTCCCTTTTTAGGTGGGAACATTGTATACTCTACAGCCAAAGCAACAGTAAAAGCAGCGAAGCCCCATTTGAATCCTTTCAGAAGAACCTCAGACAGAGTCACAGCACGAGCAAAGCCGCCTGAATATCTCCATGCTTCATTACTAAGAGGAGAAAGAAAACAATCCATAACAAAAAATACATTTACATATTCTTTAGAGAACCCAAGTGAAGTACTGACCGTGCCCATGGGTCCCTTAGACCTCTGGCTGCTAGTCTCTGTTTTGTGAATTCCAATGGTGTTCCCTCGACTTTCCACTGCTTCCAGTCTGGAAGAGACACTTTGCTGTGTCCATGATCCCCTCCCATACTGCAATTGCAAGAAAACAATTATAAAATATTATAAGTGTAAACTATAGATTTAGAGTTTAAAATCCATTGTGTCAGGTTATAAGACGCAGCAGAAACCCTATTATCACGATGATAACCAAACGACATGCACCATTTCATGGAGACAAAAAAAGTAAATTCACAACGGAGAATACAATTAAATACAAAATAAAACTAACACAATAATAATGTGTAAGAGTAGTAAAATGGATATTTCCATGCAGCAACATAAACATCAGCAGGCCCTTCATATTCATAAGTTTATACTCAATTTGTGGAGAGAAAGCCTATTCATTTCTTAACATTGCGTTATTTTAGACTAAAATTCAATAAAGTCAAATATAACGCCAATATAAATGAATATGGCAAAGATTAAAGTGTATGCGGCTGCCTCCTTTCACATCCAGTGTCATGAGTAATCTTGAGCTACAAAAGTAATTTCTTTATGGACATGTGTATGAATGTTAATCTTTTATTGAACCACTAGACTTCATATACAACTGATAGCATAACATTAAAGTTAGCTAGCATGCTAGTGCCGCTCCTTCGTTAGCGTCTTCTGTGAAACAAGCTGGTTTTTATAACTGTTTTTTAAAAATATATCTTTTCGATTCTATTTTCTGTAAAGTATAACTATTCAGTTACCAGCAAAAACACACAAAAAGCAAAACACCTCACCTGAATGTTTCTGTTTTGACCTCTGTAACTCCGCGACAGAAAGTGCAGCTTTACAGCAACTACGGAAAGCTTTATAAGACAATATACATAAACGCGAACGAGGCTTTAACATTTATTATAATAAAAACGTAAACCCATATACAGTATATTTATTGTTAAATCATTACAAAAAAGAATTCCTATATTACAAGATCATATCTTAGAAAATATTAATGGATTGTAAGTATAACATTCTCACACATGCACGCATCCAATGTTGTTGATTATAACTTTCTTTACCATTTACGATTTGTGGGTGTCTGTATTGGCTACTGATGGGCATTTTAAATTCCCCTGATGGGATCAAATCCATAAAGTTTCTCATGATCATAATTTCCCTTTAGACGTGTATTAACAAAGGATTGTATTATCCTCTATCTCAAATAGAGTTTCAGCATCAGCATCATAAAACTGTCGCCCAAAGGGATAATTAGTCACTATTTTTTAAAGTTTGCTTTTTGGTTGATCAAGCAGTTCTTTCAGGGCCTGGAGATTTTCTCCATCTGGTGCATCCGGCCATGCACTGTGGTCTGTAAAAATGAACAGATTTTATTAAAACCCTAGCTGAATAAAAGACACAATTGTAATGTCCACATACCAGGTATTTCAAAGGTTGAGTGATACAGACTCTGCCCTGCATCTACACGCAGTGTGGCTCCTGAAATATAGGACGAACCCGGAGACAGCAGGAAACAGACAGCCGAAGAGATCTAAGAAAAACATTAAAACAAACACTATTACTCTGAGTTGCCTGGAACATATAAACTGTCCTGAAAACAGAGCATAAGTTACCTCTTCTGGTATTCCCAGTCTTTTTGCAGGACTGAATGGAATGGACATCTTGAATAAAGCAGGTCCAAGGTCCTTATAGTTCTCCATAGCGGTTTTAGAAAATATTGTACCCTGAAAAATAGCATAACAATAGAATGCATAATTCATAGTGCAATATAAGGATTAAGACATCATTTTGTTTAAACATACAGGTGCGACAGCATTAACTCGGACGCCTGACGCTGCCCACTCTATAGACAAGCTCTTGGTGAGGTTGTCCACACCTGCCCTCGCAGCTCCTGTGTGACTTTTCAAAGAGTGACATCATGAAGCTCAGCAAATACAACTGCTCCCTGATACTCACTGATACTTAATACTTACGCCATGCCAGGGAAGCCTTTCCACATGTCAGCAATGATATTCACAATCACCCCCCCATGTTGTTTCATCCATGCAGTGTAAACTGAGAAGAATACAGAATAAATGCATCTACTCAACCATAGAGCCTTCACAAGTCATACCTTCTTTGCAGCATTGAAATGTCCCATTTAAGTTTGTGTCTATCACAGCCCTCCAGCCTTTTGAGGACATATTTTCAATAGGGCTTGTAAATTGGCCGCCACCATTGTTGACCAGAAAGTCTATGCGTCCATGTTGTTTCAGTACTTCTGACACTAAGGTCTTCACCTAGGAGTGAATGATGCACATGAGACAATAGCAGGAGCAGCTCGACTCCGATACAGACAGGTCTCTAAAGTGAGAATGCTCTACCTCGTCTTCGTTGCGGATGTTACAGGGGACAGAGGAGACTGTGGCTGGATTGGGGAGTGAGATCTTGGTCTTCAGTTCATCTACTGCCACCTTCAGCTTTCCCGCATTTCTACTGGCGATCACCACATTGCAACCTGACAGAATACATTTCACATAAAAAATATTCCATCACATATGTTGGATGTATCAGAAAAACTAATGTAATGTGAAATACCACGCATATGTTATTAGGTTAATTATTACTGAAGATGCAGAGCAAAGTTCACCTCACTGTGACTCTGGAGTATAGAGCATAGACAAGTTTGTCGTTTCAAATTGCCAGTGTACCTAGCTCGAGCAGCTCTGCAGATATGGCTTTACCGATCCCGGTGCCTCCTCCAGTTACAATTGCAACTTTATGATTAAACAAACCAGGTCTGAATACACTGGCAGCCGCCATACTTGTCCGACTGTTGTGGTTCTGGTTCTCCTGGAGTCACCCGTATAATAGCGCCACCGTCAGGAATATGTGCCAAATAGACATGTCTGCTTAAACCAAAGCAGTACCAAGGGTTCACAAATAATAAACCCAAAAAGATGCGTGAAATTTAAAAAAATACAGTAAAAACACCATATAGATATGTTACAATCAAACTACGCAGTTATTGCACATAAGATCCACGCCCATATGCCTCAAACAGACCAGTAGAAGACTGGAAGTTGCAATTACTGGTTCGATTTAGGTATTGTGGACTGTAAAGCAAAAATATCCAGATAAAAGCAAGTTATGAGGATTTACTAGTGCAACTCAAGTAAGTAATCTTTATGTACTGCCTTTCACGGACCAGAGTCAAAGCGGTTTACAATTGTAGGCATTTGTCCCCTCACTGCACACAGAGGGTGTGACCTATATTTAAGAAAAAAAAAACACCATACTGGCCCAATAAAATGTGTAGAATGCCTCGAGTTCCATCTTTGAAATCAATTACCCCACCCCTGGCTCGTCTTTGCACCGGTGTCAACCTCTGGAGTAACACAGGCATAAGCAGTTACTCCAACACAAGACTGCATCCCCACGCTCTTAAATTTTAAATCCAGGAATTATCAAAATAAACAATTAAAAAAAAAAAAAAGTTACAAATAACCTTATAATTTAATATAATCGTAATTGAGCAAATCCAGGACATTCATCATGAAAAATCATCCTTAAACCAATTCAGATCTAGAAATGCTGTCCCTTTCAAACGACAAGTGGCAATCACCTCAGGATAGGGAATTATTGTGTGAATATTTATGGCTGTCTCTGAAAACTATGAAGAGTACATTTACATTTGATGTTCATGAATGTGGACTCTTTTAGCGGTAAATCTGAAGAGAATAAGTGGAATCATGCAAAGTTTGAATCTTAAAATTGAAACCAAGCCTTTTGTGAACACTAAAACTTAAGCCAATTAAAAAAATAAACTGAAGTGATGGATTCCAAAAAATCCCAATGATGCATGACAGACAACAATTCCGCTCCAGACTGCTTTATTTTTGGATGTTGAGGCCATGTCCAGTTCGGTTACGTTATAGAAAACAGTCCCAAATCCACCAGCAAATGTTCCACTGGTTTACTGGTCCTTCAACTCCTTCAGCCTCCTGATTGCAGACTTCACTGTGACAGCGGAAGTTGTGCTGGAAATAAAATATATCAGCAAGTGATAAATCAAAGTGAGAAAAGCATATCATATATTAAACCCATCTCAATATGTATATATATATATATATTCCAAAATTGAAAAGTGAGTCAGATCTTTCAGCCAAAATATACAAATATATAATAAAAAACAGACCTGACAATGACATTCTATATCGTAATAGGACAGAAAAAAAAAACAACTTTGTGGAATAATGCAGTTACTTGCTCAAGGTTAGTCTCAACTTACGCTCATTTTAAACAGTGATGGCAAGACACGGGCTCTCCAACTATTAAAGTAGGACCCCAAAATATTAATATTTATTAAATAAACAAGGTGAAAAAGTGATTAACGCAGCTCTTTCTCACACCTCACACTTTGAGAACCGCAAGACTAAAGGGTCTTTGCACTTCATGCATGTAACCTTGTAACAATTTGTATATTAACTTACTTGTACGTCCAGGCTCCTCCGGCGACAGTTTTCCTGCAGGACCCACAGTGCCAGATACCAACTGCCCTCCTCTTCATCTTGGTCTGTGAAAATGTTTAGTCAAATTTCTGAAATTTCAAGCCAAGCCAATGTATAAAAGGGTCAGAAAATACCTTTCCACAGAAAGAGCAGGTGTATTTTGAATGCTGGGAGATTTCAATTTTCTTAACCATCTTCCTCAGCGACGCACCATAACGTGTGCCATATTTACCGACGATCCCCACCTTCTTCGTGCGCTTAGCCTGTCAAAACGATAAACATGCATAAATCAAACCTCAATACTTCAAAATATACAATAGCTCTGTAAGGTCCATAAGGAAACAATATCCGTTTGACATTACTAATGTTGTGTAGTAAATTCATGATATTAAATAACCGAATATAAAAGAAAAAAAAGGTACAATATACCACACATTAGTCAAACGAAATGGCTTTATTTGATTGAAAAGGCATGTTAAATTTCACTCTACAACAGACTTCTTCACTAGCCACCCGGTAAATAATCTAAGTAAGTAGCCAACCAGGAGGCAGCCATTACAGTTTGAAAAGTAAAATAACCACATTTCACATAATCCACAATGGGAATCAATACATAATGCCAACATCATATAAGTTAAACATTTATTTATAAATCCTGCAATGAATGGAGCAAAATGAAGTGTATATAGGACAGATTAAAGTGGATTTACGAAGGGACATTTTCCGCTCACCATCGTTTCAGTGGAGACACAGGGCCCAAGAGGACGAGCACATTGCGCACGCGCGATTTACCAGCATACGAACAATGCATTGTGGGAAACTGAGTTTGATATTCACTGAAGTCGAGAAGTAACTGTAAATATATACAAGATTATAACACTCTCTGCGTGAAAAAATGGACCATATACTGAAATTTCCATTTTAATTGTTAACGTAAAAGAGACAGTCATACGTTACTATGGACGCGCTCCGATGTTACTCGTATGATCGGCGCATGCGCAATATCGTAGCGGAGGACACCTCAGAGAGCTGACTGGAAATGTTTGTTTTTTCACCAGTGTGAATGTTTATCATGCAACTAAAGCATACATATTTCAAATGAAGCTGTCCAGAAAGCTTGTTCTCGCCAAAGCCAAGGCCTCCGACTTGGAAAGCGTAAAGAAACTCAATTGTTGGTAAGGTTTTAATTTCGGCAATTCTTCGATGCATTTAAGGATGCTGCAGCTACTTTATCTAATATTCATTTGTTTTATTTAGGGGATGTAATCTAACAGACGTGAGTATAATTTTTGTTGATGAGTTGGATGTTAAATGTTGAAACCCATTGATAATGAATTGTATATTTTACTCTAGATAACCATCTTTACCCAATTGCTCAACATAGAGGTACTGACACTGAGGTGAGTTACAAAATTGCAGTCTGTTTTAACCGGCACACCATAATGATGACAACTACATCAAATATCTTTCTGCAGTGTCAACAGCATCACATCTCTAGCTCCTCTGGCCGGATGTCTGAACCTATGTGAGCTCTACCTGCGGAGGAACATGATCTCCTCACTTTCTGAGCTGTCCCACCTTCGTTCCCTGGGCCGTTTGAAAGTACTCTGGTTGGCAGAAAACCCCTGCTGTGGCACTGACCCAAACCGCTATAGATTCACAGTACTGCGGTGTCTCCCACGTCTTCAAAAGTTGGATAACCAAGGTAACCATATGTGCAGACTCATTATTCCTGCATTATTCAGTGTAATATCATTTGATGTTACCATGAACAATAGTGTTTACGGTTTTGTTTTCAGTGGTGACAGAGGATGAGGTTACACTTGCTCTCACCCAGGGAGAAGAGGTCTCAACCCCCACAGAGCTAGTCCTAAACCAGCCTTCTGCTAACGGTCACCCAGACACAGAAACAGAGAATGATCCACTTGAATACAACATGGATGAGACAAAGTATGTTGCCATCAACTGCTTTATTGTATATGCCGCATGATAACATTTTATAAACCTTGCAGCAAAATAAGGGAACAATTGGGAATGAAGCCTCTTCCAAGAGACAAGTTTCCATCTTTGTCTTCTCCCTCAAACAGAGAAAACAAAATGCTCACGAGGAAGGTAGTAGTTGTAAAAAGTCTTATCAATTACCAAAACTATAAAGTATATTTCTAACCTTATTCTGTGTTTTTAGTCACATACATTGGATGCAATTCTTCTCCTACTCAAAGATTTGGAAGAAAATGAGCTTCTTGTTGTACAGACCGCCACACAGAACAGGCTGCATACATTTATGCTGAATTCAGAAATGATGAAAGACTCACTACAAACCAAAATAAGTGATGTTGATGATTAGATTAACGGTTTGCAAGTGTAGACATGTTCCTTAAACTTTCAGCACACAAGCTCACATGTGAATTGAACTACACTTTATATGTGGTTATCTTGTAAAGTGAATATTCACCATTCTCACCTGCCTTTATCAAAAGATTGAATGTTTTGCAAAATTGTATAAATATAAATGAATGAAAGAAACTCATCTTATTTTTATTCACACAGTGACTTATCAGAGGGGTACGTTAATTAAACATTATTCCAAAAGTGCTTAGCTCAAATTCTTGTGTGTGGACATCGTCAAGGTATTGTTTTATAATTAATTTCTATTTTAAAAAGGTACTTTTTATTCAGCCTCTTCATTTTCCAAGAAGTCGACCAAAGTATTTGCCTCCACAGGGACGAGTAAATACTCCACTCCATCTGCACCCTAGAGAGCCATGAAACGAGTTAGAAGAATTAAATCATATTAATAAAATCAATATGTACCTTTCGTGTGCGGATCAGTTTATGATCTCTGAACTCAGTCAACTGAGTCCTCAACGTCAAGTCGGAGTTCACTAAAAAGGCCTCACGACATCGCTGATAAAAGTCTTGGAAAGACAATCCTGAAGGAACAAACAGCAAAATTTCAGGTTCTAGTTGCAGGTTTTCATTCCAACCAAGCAGGAGCACACCAGCCTCCACTCATTTCCACAAGTGAGTGCAGTCTCAAAGACTTGAGGAAATGGGTAGAGTCTGTTGTGCTCCTGCTTGGTTGAAATGAATGAATTAGTTTGAGGACTGAGTTGAATAGCCCTAGACTAAAAATGGATCACCTGTATATGACGGGTTGTCTTTGTTCTCGAGCTGAAATTTGACCAGCAGTTTGAAGATTCCTCTGCAGAAAAAAACAAACATTTTTCAGATATGTAAGTAAGTAAATTTTATTTATACACCGCCTTTCACAGACCAGAGTCACAAAGCGGTTTACAATTGTTATTTTTGGGCATTTGTCCACTCACTCCACACAGAGATGGGAGCGGGGTCGCCGAACAGGAGGCACATGCCAGACCTATTGTACATATTTTTAGTGGTAGGGGAAACCGGAGTACCCGGAGGAAACCTACGCAGACACGAGGAGAACATGCAAACTCCACTCAGAAGCGAGAGTGCTATCCACTCAGCCACTGTGCCGTGATAAAGAAATAAAGATCGTTAGTGCTTTCTCACCTTGCATTGGGGGTTAAACTTCGCAGCACATGAGTGAGAGAAGACAACGCCAAAGTCCCAGTCTGCTGCACCAACAGCGAGTTTTCATACGACGTCTCTTCTGCGTAGTGTTGAAATGTAACACACTCCCACCACAGCCAGTTAAACTGACTTTGCTTAGACTGGTCCCACACTAAAACAATTACACAACTAGTCAACACAGACATAAAAGCGTGGATATGGAACAGAGTATTGTATTCTCAACAACAGTGCTGACCGAGTGGACCATTGATATGATCGATAGAAGCAACAAGATGTAGGTTCGGCAAACAAGCAAGTTGTGCCAGTGCGCTTTGAGATTTTTCTCCTCGCAGCATGGGTCCATCAATATTGTGAATAATAATATAGATATGTAGATCAGGACCTGTAAAACAATAAATCAATCTTAACAAATTGTTTCACTTGTATACACAATCAAAATAAAAATCAGACTCACTGTCTTTAAGGGTTTGAGAGATGAACTGAATCTGGTCTGTAGGAGTTCGAAAACTTCCATGATGCTCCAGCACCTCACTTGTCAAGGCATTTAAAATCTATACAAATCAAAAACTACCGCATAAATTCTCCATTCCTCTCATGCTTCGTGGGAACTGGTTCTATACTTACTGATTTTAGGGTAATAGAGGGGAAAAAGCCATTGATTACAAGATGAAGTTCTTGAGATAGTTGAGAGATCCGGAAATCCTCCAGCAAAGACTTTTTGCTTCCTAATCCGTAAACCAGGACACTAAATCCTAATCTGTAAAACATCATTTGTGTTCATTAGATAAATGAGAAACAGAAAATCTTTTTGAATAACACTGTACATACTGTAACTGTAACATCCATTTGTTAAAATGCTGGCTATATTTCTTATGAAGTTCTTGGATTTCTTTAGCGTAACATGACGGTTTTCCTTCTAAAAGCCTGATTAATGTCTCCTGCAAAATCAATCAAAAATATTACCATTTAGTTTCTTCACATGAACCATTTTAAACTACACATTGATACCAACCCTGTCGAGTTTAGGGGTGTTCAACTTATCAAGTGTCCGATCAGAGGTCAGTACTTTTGAACTGCCGTGAGCTTCAAAATACTCCTCCACCAGACTGGCCTGATGCGCAGGAGCGTTCTTTGTCTTTTTTGCTGGAGTTTTGTGAAGCGCGGCTGATAAACCTTTACTTGGTGTCCGAAGAACTTTCACATTTTCCTTTTCGTCCTTTTTTGTCTCCGTCATTTCCTCCTCCTCTTGTTCTTCTCCAGAGTCAGAGGGGGACAACTCACTGTCACTGTCCGATCGCAGGTTTAGCGCTAAATCCAAGTCAGTACAAAATAATTAAAATTGTGAACTGCTAGGGAGACATTTTCCAATGTATTCATTAAAAGTATGCAAAAACACTCACTTGTCATGCGCTTTCTGAGTCTATGAGGTGTGGTGGAAACAAACTGCCTCTTTTTATTCTGCCAAAAAAAGTGCAAGTACGTGGTCACAAACGTAATTTCATAACAATGGCGAGGCAACCCGTTTGTGCCATCGGCCTCTCCGACCACCACCAATCATTCATGCGCACACACACTCACACACACATACACAAAACTCATACAAGGAAAAGTTGGTGTCTTGTGTGAGAACACAACAACAGTTTGCACTTGGTGTTCCCAGAGGTCTCCCATCACCGTACTAACCAGACCAACCCCCACTTAGCCTCTGAGGTCTTTCACATGCAGGAGGCGCCACATATTTGAGATATTTATTTTTCCTGCATAGAAAGAAGGAACAGTAATGGCCAGGCTTTACCCTCTGCGGTGTACGGGATTCTCCTTTGGCATCTGGACAAAACAAAAGCGTGTAAGTAACAACAACACACATTACAGAACAAATATTATGCACCATTAAACATGATCTTGGAAATATTCACTTTAGCATATTATGACGTTTAGAAGGTTGACTTTCAAAATGCTGAGGTACAGACAATACATACTCCAATCAGAATAATGTCAAAAGGTTTGAAATACACCAGTTATTTCAGAAAGGGAAAAGTGAATAATGGAAAGAGACATATTCAACTTTCCGAAGCCTGAATAAAGTCTGAAACAACTTGTACTGAACAGTATCAGAAAAAGAATTTTTAATATAACAATGTGTTTCTCTCTTACTTCGGCCTGTTCGAGTTGGAGTAGACGGTTCAACAGGTGCTGTATTGAAGGTAACGCTCTTTCCAGGAGTTCGTGCCAATTCACTTGCTGTGTGAAATTTCAATTATTTATATATAAGTTAAAACAGTTATGACAAAAAGAGTGGTTCAATAATCCAACCTGTTAGCGCCATACTGTGACCTCGTCTACTTTTCTGAAAGGTGAATATTGAAGATCCTGCTCCACGGGACACACTCTCATCATCATCTGCTTAAAACAAAAAAACTATAACAAAACTGACAACCTGTCCCACCGCTCTCCCTCGCACAATCTGCCCCACCTTTACATTTGTGCCTAAAAAGAGGAGATCCACATAGAAAGCAGGAAATTGATGTTCAGTGCAACAACAAAAATCAATCACTTAGAGCAGGGGTGTCCAAACTATTGATTGAGCATGCTGCTTTTACTGTATATGGGCTGTTCTGGGCTTTAAAATTGGGTATGATGTGTCCATATTGATTCACTCCCCAGCTATATTCGTACCATTTTGTTTCTAAACAGCATATACAAATTAAGTTTACAGCAAAAGAGCAAAGGGCTATTAGACTGTTATAAATGTCATTTACAGGACAATCGTAAAAACGTGCCAGACTATGCCAATGTTAACAAGAATAGGGACGATTTCAGTGCTTGTCTCAATGAAGTCTATATTCCAGCCATCTCAGACCATTTCTGAGATGCAACGCTACCTAAAACTTCTATGCAAAATTATTAATGCACTACATTTTCTCACCACTTACTAACATTTGTGTCAAATTGATCAAGCCATTTGCCCTCAGTTCACCACAATTACATTTGTACAACTTTTAATACATTCTGCAATATGTTTTTAATGTTTTATTGAGCAAGCTCTAACACCATAGACATGCAACTGTATATCAATACTGAAAAAGGAAAAACAGACCTTCTGCTGCTAACGCCTGTATGTAGTTTTGTTGGTTCAGTTGTCCCCCATCATTTCCATTCTCCTCCTTGTCCCGTCTCCCAGCGGGACTCCTGAAAGTGACCATCTTCTGGACAGTCCCACCGCTGAGTGCTCCTTTACCAAAGACAATAAATACTTTACTTGCTGTGTATGTAAACATTAACCTTCATTTGACACTGATGAGCCTGAACAGGTATAGGTGGATTTTACTTCAATTTAAATATTTTGTCCTCCAACTCTAAAAATATAACAATCTATTCCTGCAAATGTGGAACGATTCAAATGAAAACGTATCCCTCGTATTCAGAGTCAAATCAAAGCTGTAACAGTTTGAACTCCACACTCACAAATAAAATGTAGTCCACAATGATTCTTAAAGCCTGGATCTCCTAGTTTTACAGCAGGCCTCACCGATGTCCAGTGAATTTGCCTCAGCGCTGAAAGGGGACTGTTGAACCACATAGATTCAATCCCCAGACACCAATTATCCCCCTTTACATTTACCATGGACAATTTCAGTAGACATTTAGATTTCAATATTTTTACACTAATAATAAAGGAATCAGTGGGCACATGGACATGGCCTGTGCTTCACAAAGACTCCAGCTATTAGTTTGTGCTCCAAACGGGTTTCAGAGAGATTAAGTTATATTTTAGAGAGGTTTTATAAAAATAAAAAAAGGTCTGTATACTAAAGTAGTAAGGCGTTTATAGAATATTCTACATACCTTCATGTTTGTCCACAATGTGCTCCAGGACATCTTTATCCCCAATGAACTTCACCTCCAACTCACTCATAGCTTAAGAAAAGTGAAAACAAGTGTAACTCTAAAAGTACTGACACGTAATTACACAGAAGGTAAACATTGACAGCATTAGACCGCTACACTATAGGAACCGATCATATTTTACGACAGCAGAGCTAAACGCAAATGATCACATGACAAAGAAACACATCGCATCACGAGACTTACCTGATCCCAGGGATTTAACCAGATATTTACCACAGAAAAATAACAGAAAACCATAACATGCGGCTGACAAGTTTCCGCGCCACCTCCATTAAGTTTTTAAACCACGTGACAAGTGAAAGGTCGCGTTGGGGCCAATGGAAATGCGACAATGAGGAAAACTACATGTCCCAGTGTGCACTGCAGGGAGAACTATAGTCTATGGAAGAAACACGATTTTTTTTGTATCGGGTTTCATCATACAACCACAAATCTAAAAAAGTTGGTGAAATGTTCAACATTTCATCATTTAATTTCTGTAAGTGTACATTATTTATTCCTGTAGGGAAATGTGTCAGATACCGCAATGCCTCTGTAGTGAGGAGGAGGACCTATCTCCAGATGCTGATGTTTGGCTCAGGAGCAGGAGGATTTAATCTATTGTACATGTTTTTAGTGGCAGGGGAATAAGGTGCACCTGCAGGACAACCACACAGACACAGGAATAACATGGAATCTCCAATCAGACCAGGTTTTAAACCAAGGATCTAATTGCTGAGAAGCCATAGTACTAACCACTCTGCAGATGGGTATTGGAATTGTGGTACTATAATACCATGCCATAATGCAATGAAACAAAATGTACAAACGGTATAACATTATTTATTAATCATTTACCAACTGTTACTTCAAAACAAATTTGGTTCATTGTCCAATTTATCTTGTGTTAGAACATTGTCAAAGCAGTCCTGTGTTTAAGTTTGAATAAAAATGTGTTATTATTATCACCGCCTACAAATGGTCAACAAGGTTAGAAATGTAGCAGTTAGCACATTTGCTTCATTAATTCACCATCCACGAGTTGGTTTCCACTTTCCCACAATTCTGTCTTTGGAGTGGACATAGTATGTGGGGTGCATGGCGGCTGTAGCACAGGACTAGAAACAAAAGAAAATGGCTTATTAGAAATGTACTGTAGAATAATTTAACAAAACCATAACATACACGTTTGTATCATACTCACATGGTACGGAATAAGTTTGAGCATTGTGCCTAACGGATATTCCCCATAGTCTAGTTTTCCAGAGATAGGCTCAACTCTTCCATGCTCCTGAGTCATAGACAGCAGCCTAGGCAGATTTTTTTTTAATGCTGTATTCACGTTCTGACCAATGGCATTAGAAAACATGAAAAATTCAAATACTTTAAAATTGGATGTCCTTCCACAACGGCATATCCAGATGGAAGTTTTCCTGCTCCATCAAGACTGAGAACAAAGGGTGATTCGTTAGATAAGATATTATTAATAAAAAAAAGATGGCATAGTTAGAACTATACAGAACATTTAGAATGAAACTATGTTTAGTACAACAGACAATATTGAGATGTTACCTCAGTGCTGTCCATCCACAGTCAATGAGAAGCTGGTTCCTGTGAGGACAATGACCAATGACTCGTGTCAAAACCCTTACAGCCACATCTTCTAAGCTGCACGAGCCAATCATGGACTGCTGGACATCTGTACAATGAAACATGGACCCTTATACCATCATGAAACTGATTTTACACTGACAGAGATACATACCATAAAACACATAATTTCCTGGATGAACTTCACTGAGCTGGGCCATATCTTTGACAGGATGACTACATGAAGGTGTAGAGCCGATGCTGGACTTGCAGCTGATGCCTACTGCCTTCAGTCTAAAAGAAACATTTATTACATGGATTCATTTAAGAACAACAAACTTGTCCTACCTCCTCTAAATCACTGTGTTGATAAATAAATCTTTCTTTTTACCATTTTTTGCTGAAAGTCAAACATCCTTTTTTCAAACTGATTTTGCAGTGGAATTATAACACACTTGTGGCCTTTGTACATAATCGTCACAATATCTGCACTAACTTTTCCACAAATTGCAGCGTGATTGTGGTGGTCTCTTGAGCAGCTGCCTGTATCTGCTCCACCCCTCTGCAGTTGTAGGTGTTTCCGCAGTGAGCATAGACTCCAGTCAGCTCCACTCTTTCATCTGCATGAATAGCCTGGGCCAGTTTCAGAGCCTCAGGTGAAGAGTGCAAAACACCAGCTACAATATGAACAATATTGTCTGAAGTGATCAACATTAATTTATTACTTTATAAAGAGGGAAACATTTAAACCTCTTCCATTTCCACAGTCAAGCTTCATCCAAACGTGCCACAACCGACCGTCTTGGAGAGGCCTCTTTTTCAGTTGCTCCAAAGCATCAGGATGATCCACTAAAACCTGGAAGAGGTCCAGCCTCTCTGACAGTGCTGCACATCGCTCCACCTTGCGACACATGTCAGCAATTACACAGTCATATCTATACAGCAGTGATGTATCTGTCACTTACATTGATGGTGAGTGGTATGTGTTACAGCCTCATTTTAAATTAGCCATTGTTGCATACAAACCCACTATAGTACTTAACTAATATAAACATAATAAATACAATACAATAATATAGAAAAGTAGGAAAAGATTTTGCAATATTAGATATATGATATGATGATAGATATGTGTCCTGCCTTGTCAAAAGGAACAGAATACGCATAAAGGATGTCCTCAAACCCATGGTCAGCGTAGAAACTGGCCTCTGCCAAAGTGGAAACTACAATACACCTCCGAGATCCCCCAGTCATGATCTCAGCACACTCACTGGAAGACAACAGAGAAAGATCAGGGTCAGTGTTTGAGCTACAGTATGTCATAATGTTTTACATGGTCCTACATGGTCCTGTTAGGATTAGATCGCAATATGGCCTACGTGCAGGACTATACAAGGACTCTGATTATTTTGACTATGATGTGCACTGTCTCTGTGTGACACGTATGTCTTTCGATGTGTGACGTGACAATGACTATATGAACTGTGCACTGCCTTTATTCTGTCTGAGAGAAAGAAACAATTGAAACCACTGGAACTTGAGAGAAATTTAAATAAACTTCCAAAGTTTGGTGCACCATGATCCGTCTCTGTCTGGTTCATTCCTGACAGTCCTACATGGTTTTGTGCGTCTTCATGTGTGGTCGAAGTTGCACTCCCAGCTTCTTGTAACGTTCAATCATCCTTTCTGCATTTTTCTTCACATTGTCAATGTCCACCACCAGAGCAGGAGTCCACAAGGATGAGATGAGGTCCCCCTCCATAACATCACACTGCACAGAAACAATGAGACTGTAATCATTTCATTATACTGGATGACTTCATACTGGCAAAAGAAACTAATTATTCCTACTGCATCACAAATAAACAGCAGAAATACATGAAACATTATGTTGTTTTTTATCTTTACTGGTTTTGTAACATTGTACCAGCATACAATCTAAACCAGAGTAATTCCCTCTATGTTGATTACAGAAAATTCTGCTCAGGTTTAGGTCGTGACCAAACAAGATGGATTTCACCTGGCAATGAAACTGGTAATCCAAGTTGGAGATTCTGTTGATACACAACTTGAGAACTATTATAAACTGTTATGTGTTTTAGCGATGAAGAATACGACGAAGAATAACATTTTGATCATGTCAAATGTAAAATACAAATAAAAAAAATATGTAAATGTTATTTTAACGTATACATTGTTATTTCTTTATCGTATTTAAAAGGACAATCAATATTTTTATTATCCTGACTGGAACTTTTCAGCCGCAGAGGTTGCACAGAAAGACCTTTGAACTTTGTAAGTGCAGCCAAACAATCGAATCGTTTTACACACGGAATTAAATATGACAGTTCTACAATCACCTTGCAAAATGCGTCTTCGAAAATATCTCATGCAGAGGTGAATGGAACTTACCTGCTCCATTCGGATCGTTCACTTCTCTCGGACTATCCACGGTACGGTGTCCACTGTGGCCAAAACTGATGGTGGTGGAGTGTCGTTCTTCATATGCCCAGCAGAGGGAGACACAATACCGTTAGCGCGATCAGTAAACTATGGTTACTAACTTTTTATAGTTGCTACAGTAATCAAGTAGTAGAAGAGAAAAATCCTGGTGGAAGAAATTACTCAAGAAGACTGAAATAGGAAGAGACACCCACATTGACTAGAATGAGTTTTGTGTGTGCGAATGATTAGTGGTGGTGGGAGGTGCTGATGGCACATGGTTCCCTCACATGGTCTGCCCCAGGGCAGACAATGCAACATAAAAAATAATATAACAATAATAATTAATTATTTATCTTTTTTTATTTCTATTTTTATTATTATTATTATCATTATAAGCAGACACAAAAAGAAACTTTTTTGAATATTCATGAAAATGTGTGTGCAAATTACCTTAGCACAATTGTTAAGCATATTTGATGAGTGTTATTATTTCAAAGAAACTTTATAACCTCTCCATGGATGCTTCCTGTGTATTCAGTGTCATTGTGATGGGAGTAAAGGGGAACACAAGCCTGTTCCGGTGGATTCCAGTGGATTCTGGTGGAGTGTGGTCGTATTGACCCAACACTTTTCGTACATTGTTCTTGTATGTATCGTATTTTTCAGGAAACACTATTAGAAAGTGTCTGCAGAAACAAAAGTATATAGGTTCAAAGTCACTTCAAGATTAATTCACAACACAACCTTATACTATTACCCAGTAATGTAGTCAAACAAGATGTACTTTAATTACAGAGGAAATTATGCAAAGCATAAATGTACTATAGAATAGATCTCATTAATACACAATAGATGTATTGCAAAACAAAGTGATAAAGACATTGTGAAAAGTGAAAGTCAAGCCGTATTGGGTACACCAAATTAGATTTTATTTAGACATTTGGATTGTTTACTTGACATTAGTTTGTGAATGAAGTGTGCAGGTGTTTGTATGTGGCGTGTTTGTGCGCTAATCCCTGGGAACAAAACACATCCTCAGTCAATCGATCGATGGTTGTTTTGAGTGATTGAAGGTGTGTCATCATAAACATGTAAACAAACTATAAATGCACTTCATGTCGTAAACACTTCAAAACCAGTCACATGGCTTTGTCCTTTTTTAGCACCTTAGAGGAATATACTGAGAGACTGAAATACCATATTGGAAACTGAAACTAAATGAAAATAAAATTAAACCTCAAGTTACACATTCAATAATCATAAATCTCCTTTAGGACGGTGATGATATCTGTGTAGGTTTTTTGTAGTCCGTGGGTGAGAACTAGTTGGACTAAAAATTCAGCAGTAACCCAGAGTGTTCCCTTTGGTCGTGTACTGGTCATGAACACAGAGGTACAGGTCCTCACTAGCATATCCAGCGGAAGAAGCGCTCAAAGAATGCTGGTTTGTTCAACGTGGCGTAGTCGGCTCCTCTGAAAATAGTCGTCATGTCTCCAAGTCCCACCTTCCGCAGCACTTCCTCATCTGTGTCTGTTCCCATGGCGATCACCGTGGGCACGCCCTCTGCCCTCCTCATGGCTGACACGCCCTCGTCCAGCTGCTCACTGGAGGTGATGCCATCAGTGATGAAGACGAAGGCTACTTCAGCGTTACGACGGGCCACACGATCTCGCTGCAACACAATAGTATAGAATAATATCGCACAAAACATTCTCTTAGAGCAATTCAGTACCTAACTTTGAACTATGTAATGATTTATGTAATAAAATCCATCTAACTAGTTCCTCATTGTCAAATCTTTTTGGTTCTTTTACTAGTTTTCATATGCCACATGAAATTGCAAGTTTTTTTGTATTATTTGTATTATGTCGAACATGTGATAGGATAGACATAAATAGACTTTGCTTCAGTCAAGTTTTTCTTTATTAAGGCAATTTGTTTTGTTGAATTATGTAAAGAATCTAACAATGTGACCAAAATCCAACAAACAATCAACCAATCAATGCATTGTTGGCCTGGTTACACCAGCCCTCACTCAGCCAATCAGCTCTAAGAAATGTTTTCGAGACCTCCTGCGTGTTCAGTTTTATTGTGATGTGAGTAAAGGCGGAAAACCATTACTCTGGGTTGTTTACAATATGTTATTTAAACAAGACCCTTTCTCTTGGGACAAATAATATGTATTTATGAATGGGTTTAAACATTTGACATTAGAATGTTGTTTAAGGTATCATTTTATGGAATCATATGTGGCTAAAATGGTGGTTGCATTTTAATTCACCTTTGGCGCCAGAATGTCTGGATGAAGGAGGTTTTGTATGTTCATCCATTTTTCCAAGAGGAAGCATGGGCCTTGTACTATTTACAACCAAAACGAAGTTTCGATTTGTTCCAAGTCAGATTTGCTCTCAATGAGCCTGAGCTCTGCGCTCTGTCGTCATGAGGACATTTTCTCCTTGGACTGGGCATCCAAGTAAAAAGAACGCCTGAACTTGTTTGTGGGTGCAATTTTGTCCAGGTTCAACTGTAGTTTATAATCAGCATTAACAACATTGTATAAATTGCTGCACAAAAACATTATTATTAAAACAATTATTACCTGTGAGAGGACCAGGTTGTTGACAGCATGGATGATGGCACTGCCCAGAGCTGAGGAGGAGTCCATGTACTTGACACCAGCCAGAGAATCAGAGATCACAGTGAGGTTATGTGTGAGGGGGAACTCCACTCTCTGCTCCGTGGGGCTGCCATACTGCAGTAAGGCCAAGCGGGCGTTCTTTTGGTCCGAAGGACCATTGGCCAGCGTGAGGCGGCGAGCCACGTTCTCGATGAATTCTTTGGCCTGACGATGGTTCTCCAGCCCCATCCTCTCTGAGCCGTCCAACAAGAACACTATATCCACAGGCCGCTGGACACAACTGGCAACAGCCGGCTCTGGACACAGCACAAAAGATCGGATTAGGTATTCTGCTCACTGCAGTTTGCACCCATATGCTCCAGCATCATAGGCAGCTCTCTGTAGCATCAAAAACAGCAAGATTTTGCCTAAATTTCAGCAACTTTATTAACAGGAGAAAACAAATACATAGTTATATGAAAATAGCTGGCAGGCAACACATGCACTAATCAAAGCCAACTAAATCTGCATGATTAAAACTCTCACGTTAAGTAATACAATAATGTACAGTTTTGATAGGGTAGAAATTCCTGTTCCACAAGAAATTGCTGTGCAAATGTGCAACATAAATAGGATAAGAATAAAAGGTTTAGCAGAGACACAGTGATATGATTAAGATCCGAGAAGAGGCTCTCAATAACGGATAACCCTTCTGACCTGCATGAGAGATGACCTCCGCAGAGGTGTACAGTAACTAGATACTGCTGTTAAAAAGCAGCCCCTCTCAAAAATGGATAAATAGCACAATATATATAGATTTGAACTCATTTATATTTTATATAACTGAAAATGCACAGCTATTTGTCACACATTTGTTTGTAACTGCATTTTAGAAAGCACCTTTTCATTAGAGGTAATATTCAGACCGTGGGTCTGCTCTATACTTTACAGTAAATACTATATAAGCAGCAGCATGCACATGTTTGCATACGTTTAGGTGTAAAAACAAAAACACTTTCAAAGTTTAGATATAATGCGGGCTTGTTACTTAGATTAATAGGCATGAGAGCCATGTCTTTATCAGTCTCTTTTGGCGAGGTAGCAAGGTTAGCAATTAGCAGAGTCTTAAAGCCTTCTCTGGATTGCCCATAATGTCTGCATAGACATATTTGAAAGAGTCGATGAACGCCTGTGTCCATTGGTGTTTGTCTGCTCCATGGGCCAGCTTGGCTCTCTGTGCCGCATACGCCATGGTGGCCACACCCACTCCGTACTGCTGCTCACTCAGGCCGCCCAGCAGGCTGGCCACACCCTCCACTGAGGTGGGCACAAAGGAGGGACGGCCATCCACTGCCTGGGGTTTCCAAGGGGGAGGGGATTCCCAAGTTACACCCCTTCCTGCAACAAGCAGGCGAATAACATTGTGGGCAGTGTCCCACAGACGCATCATCAAGTCAGACAATTAGAGGCTGAAGGCATTAGGGCAGTGGGGCAAAGACTCTGGACCATATTAACACTATGCACTATGCTTATGTTAGTCTTACCTGATTTGCAAGGCAGATCAGGACACACCACAACGGGATCTGGAACAAACAGAACATTCCTAACCTTGGTACCAAAATGGAAAGTGCTTTTGATTGGCATGTGACTGTACCGGGGCAGAGGACCGTCTCAATCTTGTCAATGAACTCCTCAGCCACCAGGTCAGCAAAGCGCCTCATTCCCAAGACTCTGCCATCTCGCTGGCAGGCGATACTCTTCAGGCTCTCATTCTCCTCGATTTGATCAAACATGTCTCCAATGCCGATAGCACTCACATCAACACGGGGGTCACTGTCAGAGGTCCAGCACAGTTATAAATCAGCTACACTTCATACATGATATTCTTAACTAAAGTCACCTGCAGAGGTAATTGAGCAGTGTGTCATTGTCTCTGGGGTCAAAGCGTCCGTCAGTAATGACCACCACAGTCACATTGGCTCTGGCTCTGCGGCTGTCCCGGATCAGGTTGTCATAAGCGTATTTCAGGGCGGAGGGAGTCCAAGTTCCTCCAGCAATCCATTCCAACTTCTTCACTTCGTCCTGCAATCAATATTTTAATAAACATTTTTTAATGCTATTCACATGTTCCAGGTCTTTGGTCAACTTCCCCCATGGACCAACACCAATGTGTTCTCTATTCTTTGTGTTTGAACTGTTTGATTCTCTGATCTGTGTTGGCGAATTCAACGGTTTTGTAAAGAACTGTTGTGATTTAGGGCTATGCAAGAATAAATTGAATTGAATTGAATCCAGACATTTGCCACCAGATTTGACTAATTAAAAACCTTCTGGATACATTACAGAATTAACAGTCTAGCTGCAAGTTGAAATTCCCTTTCATGGGTGTGTGTGGGAGACCTTAAAAGCAGAAAGAGAATCAATCTTGGGATCGTCGAGTCGAATGGCCTGGAATGTCCCATTGTGACTGTACTGAACAACTCCCACTCTGGTGCCTGTGAGAAATGTTCATAAGAGTAATTCATGCTTGCTTTTGTGTCAGGCTAAATAAGGCCATCATTACCTGACTCAGAATTGGGATCTGTGGCAAGGGATCCCAGTCTATTTATAGTGTTGATGACAAAGTTTTTTTCTAAAGTGAAGTTGGTCAGACCCACGGACTCTGAGCTGTCGATCACAAACACAATGTCCAGGGCTCCGCATTGTTTCTCACAATCTGAAAACAAACGTAAACTAATGAAAAAGATCTCAACATCAACACTATGAGAGGTTTCTGAAGCCGGAACTCACCACAGCAGCCACACGTCTCTCGAATGTAATTCATCACGTCACATTCCTGAAATATTCAAATGCTAATACCCACCAGTTTTTCTATATACAAAATATGAGTGAATTTTATTTCCTTACTGTGAGACCGGGATCTCCCTCAGAACCAGGATCCCCCTAAAGAGGAACAAGTACATGTTTATATATCCTTCATTCATAATGTCATATTTAACTTATTGTGTGTGGGAAAACTGTAACCAAAGAGGCCATTAAAATGACATCAAATGTCCCGTAGACACCATTTTAAACCACTGTCCATAGAAGTGAAACAACCTAAATTGTAGCAGGTTCAAGATGGCGCTGCAGATGGACGCCAAGTCTCCGCAGTGCTACTTACTGTGCACTTGTATATATGCAGATTTTATACTTTATAAAGTCTTTATCTAGTTTTTACTTTTAAAACTTGCTTGCACCGTGACCCAAAGCAAATTCCTACTTTGTGACTTCCTTTTACTTTCAATAGCAATAAAAATAATGCTGATTCTGATTGATCGACTTAAAAACTACTCAAGTCATATTCAGGGCCTCTGAAAACTCTCTGCTCCTAATGGTCAAAACTCATATCATGATAGAGGCTGACTGTAATTACACATTAAAAAGAAACAAAAACGTGTGTGCAACTACGTTTGGATCAAACCTAAGAAAAACTATTTCAAAAAGAAGTACTAGAAGTATGTGGAGGGCAGAGGGCGATGCCTAAAGCACAGAGCTGACCCAGAGGGTGTTTGGGCCTGGGTTTATGTGTTCGTGTGTGTGTGTGTGTGTGTGTGTGTGTGTGTGTGTGTGGGTGTGTTGTATCACATATCATATTGCATTGTGTTACTTTCCTAATGTTGAGTTTTGTATTGTATTTCAAACAAATGTTTGGAGTTGGAAATTAATAGGCTTGTTCCAAACCCTTTTCAAAACATGTACAGTTATTTTGTCAGGATTTGTGTTGTTCATCAAATAATCATTAAAATTGATGACCATTGTCAAGTGATATTATGAAAATTAATGTATTTAACATTAGCGCGTTTCATCTATAAATTCCGTCAAAACTTGTTTTGATCTTTTGGATGATTTTACCTTGTCTCACATTATGACTGAGTATAATTGTTTTGAGAAATTGAGCAGTGCCAGGTTGATGGTGAGCTTGTGTTTTGACACATAGACCCCTACAGTACATGGTTTTCTAGATGAAACAGGGCCCACCCGCAGGTCCAGAACCAAATTCTTCTACACCAACACTGTCGCAGGAGTCAAAACCGATACCACCTGCAGCTCTCAGAGACAAGGAAGTTGTCTCTGCTACTTCTCAATGACTTTTCCCTGATTAATTTACACAAAGTGAAGGCAAAGGTTCTCCTGGTTGGCCTGAGAGCTCTGTACACTGTGTGCAAATCTATGCAACTTAACTATGTTCTTCATATCTGAAGAAAAGTGGCAGAAGCATTCACTTTTGTCGCTTTCTGACCAAAAGCAGTAAAATCCTTAAGACCCATTACAAATGCATCATGCAGAGAAGTGAGTCGTCCTCAGATGACACGTCCAGTTTAGCTACAGAGTTCAGGAGAAATGGACATATTCAGGTGCACTCCTTGAATAAAAAAGGCTCTTGACAAGAGTCTCGGTGCAGAGAACATACTTCATATACTGCACATCATATTGGTTGATTCAAAGTGATTTTGTGTTACTTACATCACGACCCCCTTCTCCTCGAGGACCTCTTGGTCCAGGTTCACCGTGAGGTCCTGCCTCACCCTGAGAGTGAATAATATATATAGTAATAATAATAATAATGCATAATAATGTAAGTGACTGAAAACGGATTGAATAATGTTAATGAAAGCTTTGAGTCCACTCACTCCTAGTCCTGGAATGCCTTTATCCCCTGGTTCTCCCTTCTGCCCGCACTCTCCTCTGCCCCCACGTGGCCCTCGATTTCCTTTGTCACCATTTTCTCCCTGTAACCAGTTGAGTTAGTTTGGTTTACGTTACATTGCCTATTATACTAAGGCGTCTCTTACTGTTGGCCCTCGTGGTCCAGGATAGCTAAATCCAGGTCTTCCGGCATCTCCCTGGATTAGATTAAATCCAAAAATAGTAAATTAACAAAAATTAACCATGTTTTAGGTTCACTTACCTTTGGTCCTGCAGGACCAGGTTCGCCTCTTGGTCCGACATCACCAGGATCACCTCTGGTTCCCTGAAACACAATTTTGGAAAAAAATACAAATCATTTATTTTGTTCATTTTCAACAGTTTCTTGTGACTTACATTTCGACCAGCATCTCCAGGGGGTCCTGGTGATCCTCTCGGTCCAGGCAAACCCAGGTCGCCCTGTGCGGTGGCAATGAGACAGGGAAAAGGGTCATTACAAGAAAATGTGTCAACTTTTTAATAGTTAAATTAAATAATACAGTCAGAAAAACACAAATCAGGGTGTAGTCAGGTTAAAATGTAATCTCACCCTCGTCCCTTTGATTCCAGATTCACCTGGGAGTCCTCTCAATCCTTCTGGTCCCATTTCACCCTGAGACAGAGATTAAAGCTCAAGTAATTTACGGGAAAATGTCTAAGAAAAGGTCTGGAACACATTGAGATGAAGAATGGATCATTGTGTGGAGATGACAAAACACACCTTATCACCAAGAGGACCTGGTGGCCCCTCAGCGCCTTTTATTCCATAATCTCCTCTTCTTCCCTGAAGGAGAAGGCCGACCATGTCAGACCATGAACAACCACTAAATGCATTTTAAAGTTCTAATGGTGAAAAAGGTTACTTACTGGCTCTCCTGAAGGTCCAGGTTTTCCAGCGGTCCCCTAAAACAAACAGTTCAGCCTTAAGTACGACATACCTAACAATGTGTGTGTGTGTGTGTGTGTGTGTGTGTGTGTGTGTGTGTGTGGCTTTCAAGTTTCAATGTATCATTCACACATAAGCATTATATGCAGTGAGATTCTAATGAACCCTCCAGCAGATGTTTCCTAGTCGTAGTGCACTCAACATACAACAATTATACTGTAGACACACAAGTCCTCCAGTCGAGGGAGGTCCATCCTGATAGCCCTCTCCTCTGAGTGAACGACTCTCCTGAGGGTGATGCCCCCATTTTTCAGGCATCGCTACAAAGGTGGTGTCCAGCTGAAAGACAATCTGCTCTCTCCAGTGGTTACGCCTCGCCTGATGATGAGTTATGGCTCCCCTTCTTTTGGAAGTCCATTATGAGCTCTTTGGTTGTGCTTATGTTGACTGAATAATGAGTCAATTGAAAAGAATTCCATCCATCCATCCATCTTCTACCCTTTAATCCATTTCTGGGTCAGGGGGGTGGCAATCAGAGATGCCACCCAAGTCTCATAGCACCAGCCCCTCACTGATCCTCTGCAGGTGGTGAGTCCACAGGAGGACGGCTGCTCTCTGAGTGTGAGCATAGCCTTGATCTTTCAGTGGGAGCTTTGGGCAAAGTGGGGTTAAGTGTCTTGCCCAAGGACACAACGACAGCAGTCATCAGTGGGAGTCGGTGGAGAAGGTGCAGAGGTGGGAATTGAACCCACGACCTTCTGGGCTTAAGGCCAATGCTCTACCAACTGAGCTACTGTCGAAAGGAATTCGTTTTTCACAAATTTCCTCTCATCTTTGGGTTTGGCTGTAGACAGTGTTTTATTGAGCCAGCAGGTGGCAGCAGCGCTCTGGGCGCGTCTTGGTCAAAGATTACTGTCTGAGCACTGTGAGCAGGAGAGACAGAGGAGAAGCAGGCATGGAGGAATATAGTCAGGGACAGGCTACATTTGGAGACAGTTTGAGCAGTAAATGTATCTTTAGAGCTGACAGGGACCATGTGGAGGGTCAGAGCAGCAGACCAGAGGTGCACCCCAAAAAAAAGCCACAGAAAAGTGGAATATCGCTGATACTTTCAATGAGCTTGCACCAGGAGCCAGCGGCAAAGTCCAGTTATTGTCACAGTGCTCGTTTCACTAAACAGAACGACACTCTGCAGATGTACCCACACAAACGTGCACATAAACGCACAAAAATGCACGCACGAACATACAAAGACACACAACAGTATTCTATCGCCCTTATACTGTAGGTATATAGTCACTGGGGCAACAGTGGCTCAGTTGGTAGAGCATTGGCCTTTGACCCTGAAGGTTGTAGGTCTCCGACGGCTCCCAATGATGTCTGCTGTCGTTGTGTCCTTGGGCAAGACACACCAGATGCCGCAGGGGGGCGGCTGGTGCTGTAAAGTGCCAAACTGCTGTTGTGTCCTTAGGCAAGACAATTCACCCCCATTGCCTAGAATGAGTCTGACGTGTGTGTGAATGGTTGGTGGTGGTCGGAGGGGCGATGGCACATACTGGTTGCCTCGCTTCTGTCAGTGTGCTCCAGGGCCGCTGTGGCTACAGTTGTAGTTTATCCCCAATGTGAATGGAGTTAATGAATAATAACATGTGAAGGGTCTTTGAGTGTCCAAAAAAGCGCTTGGTTTATGGTCATTAGTTAAAAAAATGGCTGGCAGTCAAAGAGTTAAGTTCAAGGTTTTGATTTTTATTCAAGGTTATTAATTCAAAGTCCATAAAATGGTCTATCTCTAAGCGATTGGTGGACTCATTATTGCCGGTGTGTGTGTGTGTGTGTGAAATTTGTGTGTACCGAGGAGACTTACAGGCTTTCCTTTTTGTCCATGGGGGCCGGGTAATCCAGCGCCTCCCCTCTCTCCCTTTAAGCAGATATTTTATGTAAATTTCAGCACATTACATTTACACATTTTTTTTTAACATATATGATTCTTTGCCTTTGGTCCAGGATCTCCGGCAAGGCCAGGTGGACCAGATCTTCCGGGGCGCCCAGCATCTCCCTGTGAGAAGAAAACATGCATGACTTTCCTATCCAGAACCTAGGGGTATATTAACACATTTTGAAGTAAAACAATTCAAACCTTTTCCCCCTCAGTTCCAGGGGGACCACGCTCACCTACGTCCCCAGGGTGACCATCATTTCCCTAAAGAAAAAGCACATTCATAAGACTTTTACCCAACAATGATTGAAATAACAAGCCATACTCTGTCGCCTGGGTCTCCTTTGCAGCCAGGGGCACCGATGCGTCCAATTTTACCCTACAAATACAAATATATATATATTAAGACAAGTATTCAGAGCATTGTTTTTGTGTAAAGCCTTCTTAATAAAATCCTACCTTTTGTCCATCTCTTCCGTCACGCCCTAGGATACCATCTGCTCCCTGAAGACAGAACCATTCCAGTCAGAAAATACATGTTCTAAAGTTCACTTCAAAAAGTCATATATTTCAGTCTGTAAACTCTAAAATCACTAAAATCACAAATAGATACATGCATGGAAATGATAATTGACCGGAGTTTATGGATGCCTAAGGCCACGTTATAAAATCATATTAATAACTGTTTATCACCTTCTTCCCCTGTGCACCCATTTCTCCCTGTGAAAGACAGAGGATCATGTTATGCAACACTTCAAACCTCGGAATGTTGATTTGATTCTTCACACACTACAAACCTTATCGCCTTTTAGACCAGGTTCTCCCTAAATGAAAGACACACAACAGAAATAAGTATTTGAAGAGGTTTCTTTCTGCCACCATGAAAAGTTAATAACGTTAATAATAAAGTTAATAGGTCTTACTTTGATACCAGGTTGTCCGATGGGACCCTCAATACCGGGGTCTCCAGGGCGACCGCTCTCTCCCTTCAGCCCTGGTTCACCATTGTCTCCTTTGGCTCCCTGTGCACAAACAACGACACATATGGTAATTGTCAGTAATAGTTATATATTTCTTACTGTTTATTTTATTTTTAACCAGGTGGTCCGAAATAAGAATAATCAAAGACATAGATGACTCAAAACATGAGCAATTTCCTTATAGTAAGAATGTGCAAATAGCTCAGACATTTAGGTAACACAATGAGGTAACACATTAAGGTAACAGAGTGAGGTAACACAATGAGATAACACAATGTGCCCACAAACAATTCTCTGATCTATTTTAGCAGTCACTTCCTCCATTACATGCTCTGTCCTTATTCATATGCTGCTAATGCATAACAAGTTGTAGACATAACTGTATAGTCTGGAACTCCTACTCCTAAGAGCATGCATCCTTATGATTCTAATATTTTTGCTCAATGTTATTTCCCTTATATGGCAAGGCAAGTTTATTTATATAGCACAATTCATACACAAGGCAATTCAAAGTGCTGAACAAAACAAGAAAGCATTAAAATCATAAATAATCAATTAAAAAGAAAAATACAAATATAAAATCCCTCAGTTGTATGCACAGCTAAACAGAACTGTCTTTAACCTGGTTTTAAACATTGTCAGAGAGGAGGCCTGTCTCACATCTTCAGGAAGACTGTTCCAGATTTTAGCAGCATGAATCTGAAAAGCAGCCTCCCCATGTTTAGTTCTGACTCTGGGCACTAACAGGAGTCCAGTCCCTGTGCTCCTCAGAGTCCGGGCTGGTTCATATGGCACTAACATGTCACTAATATATTTTGGTGCGAGGCCATGGAGAGACTTGTACACAAGCAGAGCTGTTTTAAAGTCTATTCTCTGAGCCACAGGAAGCCAGTGCAGAGACCTGAGGACTGGACTAATGTGGTCGTACTTCCTGGTTCTTGTCAGGACTCGAGCTGCTGCATTTTGAATGTACTGCAGCTGTTTTACAGCCTGTTTGGACAGACCTGTGAGCAGGCCATTGCAGTAGTCTAACCTACTGGAGACAAATGCATGGATAAGAATCTCCAGGTCTGCTTTAGACACTATGTTTTTGATCCTGGCAATGTTTTTTAGATGGTAAAAAGCTGCTGATGTTACTGATTTGATGTGGCTATTCAAATTTAAGTCTGAGTCCAGTATTACCCCTAGATTTCTGACCTTGTTTGAAGGTTTTAGGGAGAGAGACTGTAGATGACAGATGAGTATATATATACTTTTATTACCTTTACCCTTTTTTTTCTAAAATGTCATTTTTTGTGTGTAATAAATAAAAGGTTCTATTATCGTATCTTACAAAAAATATTTGTTAAATATGCCGTCTTGCCATAGAATACTTCCCTAGTCTCTGTGCATGTTGGAGTCTGTTGACGATTTCCAAGTCCCAACTTAATATTTATTTAGACAAGCTTTCTCTCTTTACTGTTCATAGGCCTTTGTGAACTGTGTTTATGATGAGGACCGTCGTCTGTGTCTTTATTTTTTATATCTTTTTATTTATATATTATATATTTATATTTATATCACTTTCAGGATGAAACACTCACTTTCTGTCCTCTGTGGCCTTTTGGACCAGGAGGCCCAGGTGTCTCCAGACAGGACACGCTGTAGCACTGTGGAGTAAAGCAACAGTAAATGAGATGCTTGTGTGACGTGAGATATACCATGTTCAGTCTTTCACCTTACCTCAACATAGGCAAAGTGTTTCTATACAAACATAAAAGAGATTGTTAGAGAGAGCAGTACTGATTTTGAGTCATGTGTGTTATGTCGCTACTGTACCATAGTGTTGATGATTCGGTCAATGGTTTGGGTGTGAATGACCGACTTCCCCTGGCTCAGATCCACAGCCATGAAATCTCGCACGTACACTGCAGCGGGAGAGTTGGCGATCTCCTTCAGACCGTTCTCGTCTACCTTCTTCGAGGCGGCCACAACAAAGATGCGGATCCCCTCATCACGAGCTTTCTCTGCTGCCACTTTGATGCCTCCACAGGGGTTTCCTGTCACATGTCCATCAGTGATGACTACAGCGAACCGTAAGGACTTGGGGTATGTGGGAGAGCGCAGCATCTCCTGGGTCATGTTCGCAATCGCACAGTCGATGTAGGTGCCTTTTCCCAGGTAGCGGATCTTAGAAATACTCTGTTGACAGAAAAGGCTTCACCGTTAAAAAAACAATGTGGCTAAACCATGATTAACAGCTGATTATTAACAAAACCTAACTTTGTTGATGCTATTACATGAATACTTTGTACTATGAAAGTATTTGACCATTCAAGTACTTGCTACAGAACGTTTGTGGTGCTATAGAAGGCCTAAGTCTAGTCTTAATCTCAAACAGGACCACACTTCCATAGTGGTAGCAAATGATCCTCAGGACAAAAAAGATTTAATACACACCTGTATCTCCTGTTGTACACACACCATAGTTTTAGAGACACTTGTATAGACAATCAGAGGCCATCACCAATAATTATGATTATCATTATGATTACCTTTTGTGTGTAGTGCGTATTACATTTGGCGCTAAATGTGAATGAAAAATAACACCAATATATTCACCTGATGCGTTTAAATTTGAATTATCATTATATCAATTCATGGAGTTATTTGACTCACAGCAATGAACTCGTTCTTGGACGCCATGCGGCTGAACACTTCCTGTCTCTGGGAGAAGTGAAGTCCTCCCACGTTCCAGCTGATTTTAACTGCTTCTCTGAACTCAGCATCCTCCAAACGCTGAGCAAACTGCTCCGTGAATTCCTGCAGACACACACAGAACAGATGAATCCCACAGTGATGTCACACAGCGACAGTGTATAGAGACTTTTACCTTGATACTCTTCACCAGTGATCCAGGGGGCGGCTCCTGAAGCGCAATAGTTTCAGATGTGTCAATTGTAAAGTAGACATCAATGGGACATTCATTTTTTTCTGCGGGATACACAAACACATATTCATATTATTCTTTCTGGACAGTTCTTTGTGAAAAATGTTCTGACTCACTGGTGCATTCTGTCTGTCCGTGCGTCAAAGCTCCAAAGAGCAGACAGAGGGCGATGACCTCAAAGCCCAACATCTTCACCTGAAAGACACGGAGAAAACAAACATTATGTTTGCAATGTTAGAGTCAATTATTTTAATATACTGTATATAGTATATGCCTTACTCTCTATATATAGAGAGCAATTAAACAGCTACGCCCTACCAGTGATCAGATACCCTGCAGGAATAATCAAGTGGCCAAAGGATGAGATTCAGACCACAGATGTTAAAACTCGAAAGCGCCTCACTATGCATGGCAGATTTTGTCCCAAATCCAGCACCCTGAGACTGTATGTAGGCCGTAAAGAAAGGGGCCCGAGGAGAGTCCAGGACGAAACATCTAAACTTCATAACTAAATAATGGAGAAGGCCCAAACGGATGACGAACTCAGAGAATGTCTCAGACAGTTGAGAGATGAGGAGGTGCTGGAGGAGAGCCCATCATGGGAGGATAAGCCCCTACACGGCATGTACCACCAGAGCATAACAGAAGTGGCTGATCTCAAGAATCCTACCAATGGCTAGAAAGGGCTGGCCTACAGGACAGCACAGAGGCACTCATCATGGCTGCACAGGAACAGGCACTGAGCACCAGAGCGATAGAGGCCCAGATATACCACACCAGACAAGACCCAAGGTGTCGGTTGTGCAAAGAGGCACCTGAGACGATCCAACACATAACTGCAGGGTGCAAGATGCTGGCAGGGAAGGCCTACATGGAACGCCATAACCAAGTGGCTGTCATAGTGTACAGAAACATCTGTGGAGAGTATGGGCTGGAAACCCCAAGGTCTAAGTGGGAAACTCCTCCAAAGGTGGTGGAGAATGAGCGTGCGAAGATCCTGTGGGACTTCCAGATACAGACCGACCGAATGGTAATGGCAAACCAACCTGACATCGTGGTGGTAGACAAAGGGCAGAGGACAGCCGTGGTGGTGGACGTGGCAATTCCAAGCGATGGTAACATTAGGCAAAAATAGCTTGAAAAGCTTGAGAAATACCAAGGCCTCAGAGAGGAGCTGGAGAGGGCCTGGAGGGTAAAGGTGACAGTAGTGCCTGTGGTGATCGGTGCACTGGGGGCAGTGACCCCGAAGCTGGAGAAGTGGTTACAGCGGATCCCTGGAACAACCTCGGAAATCTCGGTCGAGAAATGTGCAGTACTAGGAACAGCTGGTAGCCCGAGTGGCTCAGTTGGTAGAGCATTGGCCTTTGAGCCTGAAGGTTGTGGGTTCGAGCCCACCACGAGACCTTCTCCAACGACTCCCACTGACTTTGCCTGAAGCCCCCGCTGAAAGACCAAGGCATATTTCATAGAGCAGCCGTCCTCCTGTGGAGGACGGCTGCTCACTGATCCCCTCACCAGCCCCTCACTGATCCTGCAGGAGGATCAGTGAGGGGCTGGTGCTCTGTGTACTGGGTGGCATCTCTGGCCACCCCCCCCAACCCAGAAATGGATTGATTTACTATTGAGCTAAACAATGATTCAGTCATGTATCAGTCTTTACAGGCTATGTAGTCTTGTGTGGTCATTAAATATGCACTTATGCATGACGGGTAAGTTCTTCAACTCCTTCCTATTCCTTTTGATCATATTATGCTGTTATGTTATTGTTAATAATATAATAATAATGGTGTATTGGCATGATACGTATTTAACTCATATGATATACAGTCCTATTGTTCACTTTTTAACGACCAATAAGTTACAGACAACTGAAGTGAAAGCAAAATCATACATGATAAAAATAAACTAAATACAATGTATTTTTACAACATTTCATCAGTACATTTTTTCTTTGAAGATGTACAAGGATTAAACAGTCTGTGATCTCCTCTCATTATAATTACAAGTCAAAGGAGCCACCAGAGGGGTGAGGAATAAAGTTGTGGAGGAGGTTAAAGCAGCCTTAGATTGCCCAAAGAACATCTAACTGTTCAATCCAAATTTGGAAATGTAAAAAGGGGCCATGGGAACATAAGAACCTCTGCAATTTATTGCTGTCCAACTAAACTAACAATCTGAACGAGGAGAGCGCTGATCAGAAATGCAACCATGTTCCCTGCAGTAGAATGCTAACAGCTGAACTATTGTCATACGACGAGGGACAGGAAGAAAACCCATTATGTAAGGAAAGCTGCAAGAAATACCACATGCCAGAAGTCATTCTGGGAGACACAACTAAGAAGAAGGTCAGATGAGTCCAATATTTATGTTTTGGTCCAAATGTCACGTATGGCTAAAAATGCACACTATGACCCTCAGTGGATCTTCCCCAGTGTCAAATATGGTGCTGTAAGCCTTTTCTTCAGTAGGGATAAGGAAGGTTGTAAAAATAAAAATGGTATATACAGTCTATGGGTTGGAGTCAAACACAGGGCAATTTTGGAAGAAAGAATGAGGCTGGGGCAGAGATTTATTCGCATCTTAAAGGTCCTATATCACGGGTTTCTTCATGTTTCACACTCAATCCTATACACATGTGTGATATTAATGTGTATGATACACCACACAACAATCAAAGCTTGTGAGATTAGAGCCATCTCTTGTATAGAGGTGACGTCACCTCGACTCAAACGAGCTGACCCAGAGAAGAGTCTGCTCCTCTGCCTGTTTACCCCGTTTTGACAAAAGTATTTAACAACTATTTTAAATACAAAGCAAACGGGGTCATGCGCGTCATGCGCGTCATCAGTGTGGTTTTCGTCACTGAAGTGGACCCGAGCGTTTCTGTGCCTCACGCTGGGGAAGGAGACAGATTGCTCTCTTACAAAAGATTGACAGAATCAATTAATAAACTACTGTGGGCTTGTGGCCAAATAGCATTGTAATCATGTTTAAAGCAGAGAAAAGTCAAAAACCGTGATATGGGCCCTTTAACAAAGACCCAGGGGAACGAACTGACGTTGCAGTTCATAAAACCTCTCCATCTAATCTTTGTTGTTTTGTAATAACAAATGGGCAAAACCTTAAGTTTATACATGTGCACAGCTAGAGTCAGAACCCAAGAGACTCCAGCTTCTGTGATTGCAGAAAAACGGGGTTCCATGACATATTGAAGGTTTTGCAGGCTCTACAAGCTCAGTATTTTTTTGTTTGTGTTTAAAACATATTTTTAATTCACAGTCTGTTGTCAGTCTGTGAATTTGCTGTGGTCTTCATGCAAAATGATATCGTTATGTTTATGGACGTAAACATGACAACATGTGCAACATTTTAAGACCATTTGCATTCCACTGTGAAAGGATAGGAGTATGGGATCATTGGATTGGAGTAATTATATATCAAAAGCACGGGAGCAACAGTTGAGAATGAGCTTTGCTGCCCCTTAATGAAAATGAAGCCATGGTAAGATGGTGCGGTTTTGTTGTGTCACATAATGCAAATACACTTCTTTGTTAGGGTTCTGCAGCCGGGTATACTTCCAAACTACATGCAATTCAGACGACGTGGTTCCTTTCAAGTCTTTTCATGAGATGCTCAGGTAAAAAGCTCCGAACACTGTCAAAATGAAAGTGATTATCTGAATATTCATGCTCTCAATTGCTAAACCTAAACAACGATTAGCAAATTATTTATTTCGCGTTTCATTTTGTGCTTAGTTCTTTATAGAGTTGCGTCTGTCTCCCTCTAGCTGACGCTCAAGTGCGTGCATCTGACCCGCGGAGACGGAGTACTGTCAGGATGAAATCAACTCTGTATGGCGCACTGAGAAAGCGCGAAGGGGAAATAATAATAATAAATAAATATACATATGGGACGATTATCAACAAACACGGACTACGGAATATTCGACACAGTATGCAAAATTGTGTATAACATGAAACATTTCCTGTTTGAAAACGTTGCTTACAAAACACTTTCTGTGATTTAAAACACGTTCAGAAAGAAACAATTCAAATACAAAGTTGGAAATTCTGCTTACCCAAACTCTTTCCAACAACTTTGTCCTTTGTCACAACTGGTCCTCGGTGGTCTACCTCCGCATCTCAAGAGAGGAAAAGTCCAAAGAGCAAAAGGGGCACGGGGAAAAGGAAAAGGGGAACAAACCGCTGGATGTGCGTTTAGTTCCCGGAGAAGAGCCGTGCGTTCACCCTGCCGTCCCGGTCCAGCCCAAGCAAAAAGATCCGATCCCTCCTCCTGCACGCGCGCCGTGCACGAGAGTACCCTTCATGACCACATGGAGGCGCCCTGGCTCTGCAGCAACAGGAGCGTGCACGGCTGTATCGCTCACGCGCACCAATGCAAGGAGATCCAAGGCTATATACAGATTAAACAAAGAAACCTCCTTCCTCATCCCTACTTAGCCGTTATTTTATACTTTTATTCACGTTTCTGGCTTGCGATCACACCAAAGTGACAATAAAAGCATCTTTAAAATGTGTTACATTTCACATGACCAAACCTGGAGCTACTCCATTTATAGCACAAGGAAGCATAAAAAACGGCATTGGGATGAATTTGGTTGCAGGTACACACTCCTTTCACCTGAACCAGCCTCTGACATTAGACCCACTTAAGAAGTCTTTTGTAATAGCCTTTACCGTAAATCAGTGGGACATGGAAGAGGTCAGGGCATTAGTATTTGTTGTTTGTTCCAGTCAACAAGAGTTTTTTTCTGCAAGTATAATCTGCCTCACACTTCTCAAACTCTATTCCCCAAGACGAGTACGAGACTACGGCCAGTGTCAGTGAGTGACCATGTGAAAAGCAGTTTTGCAGTCTAGTTTTGATTTTGAACTTAAAATAGAGACTTAAAGTAACAAACAGGCCTAAACCATTAAAGATTCTGCCCATAAAAGCTGGAAATGCTTTCTCATGTTTGGCACTTTGCTCACAGATAAACCCCCACTTGATTCACATAAATGCACGGACCTCATAATTCGTGTTCCTGGTCTGGTTGCAATTACTAGACCTATGAGACGAGTTTACAACGAGTGTAAACAGTGTCAACCGGTCCATGCGCCTGTTTTTCGTGTTTAGATGTAGTTTTCTTATTGTTGCACAGTGGGAGGTCTCTCAATGTTTCTGCATAGACAACAACTTAAAGGACATTCAGATGCATTGTGTTGGTGCAATGGAACATGTAACTTGCTTCAAACTATCCAACACAAACACTGAAGCCATGAGATCAATGCTTTCTAAAGCCATAAGATCAATGCTTTCTAAAGTGGAAACACTTCAGGGACACAGAGGCACTTCAGGGGGGCCCAACAGTTGTCAGCACAAGACGCATTGTATGAAAATATTGATACTCATTTTATTTGGCTAAAGCGGCTGCATAATGAACATTATTTAAGAGCGTGTTTAAACCACACTGCTTCGGTTTTACCATGGTCAAAACCGTCACAAACTCAACATATTAACAACATATGATCTTTATCCACTATTCTCTCAAAAACATGTTTAAGGACAGGGACTATGTTTCTATCCAAAAGCCAACAACAAATACCTTAGCAACGGTTGTCATGACCAAAATAAGACAACTTAATTTGTTTTTTTTAAAGGAGGATCATGCCTACATTTAACTATTTTAATACTTTGTACAAAACAATTAATGTTTAACATGTTTAGTAACTTAACCTCAATATCCTGCAATATAATCATAGACTGTAAATATTGATAGACCTTTAAAAGTAACTTTATAATGCAAAGATGCAATGCTTGTGCTGTGCTATTGTATTAAACATGAGGTTTAAAACAGAAAGAATCAAGTTAGTAAGTAACTAAGTAATGTTTATTTATATAGCGCATTTTACTGACCAAGGTCACCCAAAGCGCTTTACACTGTTCAGAGTTCAGTTATTGTTGCAATCATTCCACACAAAGGTGGTTTACATTGGAATCCTCTCTGACCATGGCATAATATATGTACAGTGCCTTGCGAAAGTATTCGGCCCCCTTGAACCTTTCAACATTTCGCCACATTTATGGCTTCAAACATAAAGATAAATAAAATTTAATTTTTTGTCAAGAATCAACAACAAGTGGGACACAATCGTAAAGTGGAACAAAATTTATTGGATAATTTAAACTTTTTTAACAAATAAAAAAAAATGAAAAGTGGGGCGTGCAATATTATTCGGCCCCCTTGCGCTAATACTTTGTAGCGCCACCTTTTGCTGCAATTACAGCTGCAAGTCGCTTGGGGTATGTCTCTATCAGTTTTGCACATCGAGAGACTGGAATTCTTTCCCATTCTTCCTTGCAAAACAGCTCGAGCTCAGTGAGGTTGGATGGAGAGCGTTTGTGAACAGCAGTTTTCAGCTCTTTCCACAGATTCTCGATTGGATTCAGGTCTGGACTTTGACTTGGCCATTCTAACACCTGGATACGTCTATTTGTGAACCATTCCATTGTAGATTTGGCTTTATGTTTTGGATCATTGTCCTGTTGAAAGATAAATCTCTGTCCCAGTCTCAGGTCTTTTGCTGACTCCAACAGGTTTTCTTCCAGAATGGTCTTGTATTTGGCTCCATCCATCTTCCCATCAATTTTAGCCATCTTCCCTGTCCCTGCTGAAGAAAAGCAGGCCCAAACCATGATGCTGCCACCACCATGTTTGACAGTGGGGATGGTGTGTTCAGGGTGATGAGCTGGGTTGCTTTTACGCCAAACATATCGTTTTGCATTGTGGCCAAAAAGTTCGATTTTGGTTTCATCTGACCAGAGCACCTTCTTCCACATGTTTGGTGTGTCTCCCAGGTGGCTTGTGGCAAACTTTAAACGAGACTTTTTATGGATATCTTTGAGAAATGGCTTTCTTCCTGCCACTCTTCCATAAAGGCCAGATTTGTGCAGTGCACGACTGATTGTTGTCGTATGGACAGACTCTCCCACCTCAGCTGTAGTTATCTGCAGTTCATCCAGAGTGATCATGGGCCTCTTGGCTGCATCTCTGATCAGTCTTCTCCTTGTTTGAGATGAAAGTTTGGAGGGACGGCCGGGTCTTGGTAGATTTGCAGTGGTCTGATACTCCTTCCATTTCAATATAATTGCTTGCACAGTGCTCCTTGAGATGTTTAAAGCTTGGGAAATCTTTTTGTATCCAAATCCGGCTTTAAACTTCTCCACAACAGTATCTCGGACCTGCCTGGTGTGTTCCTTTGTCTTCATGGTTCTCTCTGCGCTTTAAACAGAACCCTGAGACTATCAAAGAGCAGGTGCATTTATACGGAGACTTGATTACACACAGGTGCATTCTATTTATCATCATCAGTCATTTAGGACAACATTGGATCATTCAAAGATCCTCACTGAACTTCTGGACTGAGTTTGCTGCACTGAAAGTAAAGGGGCCGAATAATATTGCATGCCCCACTTTTCAGTTTTTTATTTGTTAAAAAAGTTTAAATTATCCAATAAATTTCGTTCCACTTCACGATTGTGTCCCACTTGTTGTTGATTCATGATAAAAAATTTAAATTTTATATCTTTATGTTTGAAGCCTGAAATGTAGCGAAATGTTGAAAGGTTCAAGGGGGCCGAATACTTTATCAAGGCACTTGCATGTTATCCATGTAGATAAGTTTAATTAAAAACAGAAAACAGAAACACGGTCTATAAAAGAGTCTAAATTGTTATGGGGGGATGTCTTTCGGTCAGTTAGGACTTGAACGTCTGGGCTTCATTCTCAAAGAGCGCAAGGACATAATGAAACTGTTTGAGGGAATTACAGATGACGAGGACAGACTAATTCCAGAACAGGACAAATGAATAAAAAGCCTTATATGTGTGCGAAAGGTTCAGTTACAAACCACGGTGATGTAATGAGGTTGTGAACAATCTTCCTTTAAAAAAAAAAAAAACAAAAAAAAAAAAATGTTTTTCATATAAAAAGCTCCACCTGTTTTGTCTTAAGTGATAAAAATAACATTTAGAGCATTGCTTAAAAAGCACTGTGTTTTAATTGATGCAACACTACACTGTGATTGAAACAGATATCTATAGTTTATGAAGTGATTCATTGTTAAGCTGTACAGAACACAGATATGTGATTTTTATCTAAATGTGATTCAGGTAAAGTTAAACTGAAGCCGCTGGAGGACATTGTAATACAGCATTTCCATAAAAAGGATTTTTTTTTATCATAGAGCTAAGACATTTTTGTTTTGTTTTTAATTGTTTGTAATAACTTAATAACTGCTCTGTTTTAATCTTTGTGTTGGAATCTGTTTAGAGAAGTTAGTGAATAATTGATTACACAGTTTTTTAAAAACCCAGTTGCAATTAATCAATTAATTGTTACAACTAATTGATTTACACCACCATCATCTGAATTTAAAAGAACCATCGTCAGTTTCAAAATGTCCTTGTTATCACGGCATTTCCTCCGTCATACTTTCTGTGCAGAATTATTGACTGGTGAGGATTTCATTTTCACTTCTGAAAAGAAAAAACTATTGGGCACTTCATGGGAGCTGTTATAGGTTTGGCACGAAAACATAAACCCATTGTATTTGAGAAACTAAAATGGTGAAGAAGCGGCCAGCTGCAGAGCAGACCAGAGATATATCAGTGAAGCTCCTCTTGGATCTTGGCTTGAGAATGGATTTTCCCTTAAAAAGAAAAGACAGTGAGACAAAATGGAGGGATGTGTGTGTGTGTGTGCACGCGCGTGCGAGGGGGGGGTCTGGTCTGCTTTAAACCAGTGACTCACAGAACAGGAATGGCCTTCTCTCCCCAATAAGAGCTAACCAGCTCTCACACATAAAGTCTTGTGTTTTATTTTTCCATTTCATTTTTTTGCATGGGGCATAGAGCACCATTGAGTCTTGGGGGATTTGCCTGTAATTAGATGCAGAATTACAAACAATTGTATGTCTTTTATCTCTATGGGGATTTTTCTTTGGAATCCAACCCAAATCCGTGGAACAAACCACTGGGAACATGAAAGAAAAGATCAGAGTGAATTATGACTGAGGTGCTGTGTCAGTGTATGTGTATGTATATGTATATGTATATGTATATTTCAGATTCAGATTCATTTTATTCGCCATTTGCAGTAACACTACATTGGAATCCATTAGTAAAAGTTCCCAGTGTGCACAGGACAAGTACAGACATAAAACAACATTAAAAGACAAAAATAAAACAAATTTTAAAAACAGTAAACAAATGTCACTGTGAAGTTGACCAACTAAAACAGATCTATATAAGTGCAAAAACACTAAA